CATACGTCTGAAATACCGACCTTCCTTCGATCTCTAGGCATACAGGCGCAGACGACTCAAGAAACAGCCCGACCATCCTGCACTGCTGCAGATATTACCCCCTTCGTACCCAGAGGAGGTGTTCTGCAAATTGCTGGCCTACCTCCCTGATACAGGCACAGCTGCGCAGGTTCCATGTACTTTTACTTATTACAACAACAGGCGCACTAATAGTTCCCAAAGATGGTAATTTTTTATATAACCTCCCTCCACTGGTTCCGCAAGCTACTGTCCAAATTACTCGGTCAAGTTAATTCCCCCACGTACTATAAGTGTGAAAACAACTTTTAAAATCGATAGCCACTCACACACTTGGCTAGCGAGCTAGGCCAAGGACAGTGTGCCCACTGCTTATTTGTGGGTTTTCCCCTGTGTAATGTACGGTTCTCCCATGTATTTCTATGTACTTCCTGTATATGTTGTTATATACCCTGTTGACCGTTCAGTAGCTCTCACGCGAACAGAAACCATTAGTCTCCCGAAGGCGTACGTTAAGTGTGAAACCGCAAGGGAAGTAAATAATGAGTGCTCCACTGGGTGGCCGCCATTCGTATAGGCGGGGGAGCATTTGTACCCTGAAAGGAGATGCTTCCCTTGTTGGATCTTCACACCGGGATTCCACGAATGGGTCCCTGTGGTTGGTGGGGACACTGTTGGGGTACTGGCGGTTCGGGTCATCCCTACCTGCTCCTAACTGAGTTATAATCACTGCTCTTCCTACCTGGGAGCTGCGAGGCTAGGCTTGTAGCTGCCCATAGAGCACTTTCTCCGGTGCTACCCAAGTGGAGGTATCCACCGGAGAGAGATGCGGAATCTCTGGAGCTGTGAGTCAGATTCGCAGCCTCAGGCGTCCCGCTGGAAGTCCGTGCCGACCAATGGGAGAAGGAGCGCCCATTCAACTGGGGTCGCACCATTCTCCTGATAGGTCGGCATGAATGAGCGCTGATTGGTCGCTGTGTGGTACAGGCGACCAATCAGAGAAGAAGCGCCCATTCAAATGGGGTTTTGCGTCCTTTCTCCTGATTGGGCGGTGAAACCCCTCTCCTCCCTGTACGCTGATTGGAGCGAATTGGTCTTGCGCCTTTCACCTGATTTAATATTGCTTGGTTTAGGTGCGAAATTTAAATTCTAAACCAAGCAATCCCATGGAACTGATTTCGGGGATGTACAGAGCCTCAAGCCCAGACTTTACATGATAGTTTCTCGGGCTCTGTAAATCCGATAGCCCAGCTATTTACAAGGATCCTAGATGGAACCCGGGGCTATCCAGTGATATGTGTTTTATATGTGTAACCCCTTCTCTTCCTGGGGCACAGAGCCCCTAAGTCTTCCCCATATAAGTAATGTGTTTTAATCTGTGTAACGGTATGTGCTGCTGGTATCTCCCAGGGCGGGAGATGGTTATCTGTAAACCATCCCCCTCCAGCCTGGGAGTGTGTTGAACTGAATGGAGACCCCTTGCTGGGGTCTGTGAATAAAAGAAAGCTGTACCAATAAAGCATGGTCAGTGTTTTACCCCTAGAGCTGTGTCTTGTCCTGTTACTGGGGGGAAAGGGTTAATCACTGTTCCAGCTCGTGGAGGATGCAGCGGGGAAAGTCCTTGTAAGGACTAAGAAGCACCCAGGGCGATGTGTCATCCAGCCCTTGGGAACACATAGAGCTAGTCCCCTATCCATTCCCCCAGCTAGGAAGCTGTTCCTGGTGGAGGTACCCAGCCGGGTACAGGGAGCTCCGTCACAGACATCAAAACATAAAAATTAGATGTGCCAATAGCATATTATAAGAGATATAAGCATGCCTTTAGGGATTGCAAAAGCAAGAAAATGAAAAGCTAATAGCTACAGGAAGGAAGACTAAAAATTGAAGTACATTAAAGGGACTCTCCAGGCAGAGGATTTTACTTACCTGGTTCCAGCGCCGGGAGCCTTGTGAAGCCGCGCCCCCTATTTCGTCAAAATGACGAAATAGGCGGGCGCAAGCAGGGAGCAATCAGATGCTTCCATTTGGAAGCGTCATTGCTCCCTTGTGCGCATGTGCGGCTTCGCCACACATGCGCACATACTTCATAGGGCGGCATTCATGCCGCCCTCTGAAGTCCTGAGCGCACTACCTTGCATGCGGTAGGGTCTTTGCCAGCCCCCAGGTCTTTGCCCGCCCCCTCTCCTCTGCTGACACACAGTGCCTTCTCTCTCCTGCACACGTCAGACGTGTTTTGATACGTCTGACGTGTACAAGGCCTTTTTAGGGCCATACACGATAGGAAGTCCCTCTGGTGGTATTCCTATCAATCAATGTAAACACTGTATTTTCTCTGAAAAAAAAGTTGATAGGTATTTTCTCTGAAAATACAGTGTTTACATAAGATTGCCTGCAGGGAGCTATAGCTCTCACCTGAACAACCTCATTAAGCTGTAGTTGTTCAGGTGACTATAGTGTCCCATTAATGCAAAAAGGTTACAAGTGAAAGTGTTGGTCCATCTGAGATGGATATTTTAAGAAGGACCAGGGCAAGGCAGAAATTGTTAACTTTTTTTTTTCTTCAGTATTTAAGGAAGAAGAATCCATGGCTGTAGATTTGCAAATCCTTATTTAAAAAGCCTTTAAGCAAACAGGTGATTGTTTAACACAGTATAAAGTGCTACAGCAATTAGGTTAATGTAAACAAGCTTCGTGTAGAAATATTCATACCATTGTCCTTGATCTTTCAGGATTCTTTTATTACAGGAATCTGACCGGAGGATTGAAGAAAAGCAGATGTGGTGCCTATATTTAAAAAAAAAAGTTCAAAAGCCCAACCGGGAAACTTGTGAGCTTAACATCTGTGGATGGGAAATTATTTGAGGGGTTGTTAAGGGATAATATTCAAGAATTAATTTTAAACTAATATCATTAGCAGGAATCAACATGGTTTTATGAAAGACAGGTCATACCATACTAACTTAACTGTATTCTATGAAGAAGTTAGTAGAAATATAGATCATGGTGATCCAGTAGATGTGATCTCCTTGGATTTTGCCAACGCAAAAGGTTATTATTAAAACTGAAATCAAAACACTGGCTTAACGATAGAGTACAGAGAGTAGTTGTAAATAGAAACTTTTTAAACTGGACTAAAGCGGTAAGTGGAGTGTTCCGGGTTCTGTCATGGGTCTATTTATAAATTATCTTGAAATGCAAACTCTTGTGTTCGAGTTTGCAGTTGATACAATAGTAGGTAAGATAACAACTTCTGATCACAATATAATTATCTACAGAGGGATTTGGACACATTGGAGGACCATGCAGGTAAGTGGCAGATGAAATTCATTACTGATAAATGCAGTCATGAATTTTGAAAAGAACCCACAAGTCCGTTATACATTAAACAGGGTTAATGATTCATGTGATCAAAATATATTTTTTCCTCTTTATAAACCAATGGTAATTCACCACCTTGAATATTAAGTTGAATTTTGGGCACCAGTTTTTTTTTAAAAATGAAAAGTTAAATAAAAATGGATATTGCAGAACTAGAAAAAGTGCAGAGGCAAGCTACAAACCATTAGTTATGAAGAAAGGCTGGGAAAAAGATTTTTTTTTCTTTACAAAAAAGATGCCTCAAAGGGGATATGATAGCACTATACAAATATATACAAGGACAGTACAAACCGCTATAAACTGCTATGTGTCATTAGAAGGAATACAGACTAGAGGCCACACACTGAGACTAGAAGAAAGGTGTCTTCACTTACAGCAGAGGGAAGGGTTCTTTACAGTAAGAATAAAGATGTGGAATTTATTACCTAGAGAGGATTTCCTATAACTACAATCAGATATAGGCCAAATAAAAATTTATAACAATTAACGTGACTATTAAAATTAAAAAGAAGAAACAATTCGCAAACAAGTGGCGAAAAAATTTAAAATCGTGACACATTAAAAAACAAAAATACGGGAGACAATAATCATGTGCGGACGTGATGACGTGAGGACGACGTCAGGAGGGGAGGAGTTGGAGACTGGCGGGTCGATGAGAGGGGGTAGCCGCCATGAGGAGAGAGCTTGTACGCCACCTGGAAACCGGGGACACAAACCGACCGTATCCGACCGTAACCGACAGTCTCTGTATGCTGCACAATTTATGCATGCTACACAGGACTGATTATGTTCGGATTAAGACCGGACTCTCTGACTGGATTCCCTCGGCAAACTGTGTAAACTCACTACCCAGACCATCCATATTTGCCTTTCCTGGTGTGCTATGAGGGCTGCGGGAGAAGGAGAGTGCTGGGAGTTGATGGAGTGGTGGTGGAAGGAGAATAATTTTACGGGGGTGAGGAGTATTCTATGCTTGTGAGAGAAACGGATGTTATGAATACTTTCCCACATGAAATAATAAAGAGGGGATACAAGGAGCATCAAAAGCTATTAAAAGTCATTAAATTTAATCCAGTGAATATCTATAAAGCTTAAAGAAGGAAGAAGGCAAGAAGGAAGGAAGGGAGAGAAAAGAAAAGAACAAGAAAGAGGCAGTAGTTTTTTTTTTTTGTATCCTCTCCTCATGCTCTCTTAAAGCACTAGATAAAAAGATCGGATTACAAGCTTAGAATTTGAGTATAAATTCTTGGGATCCCCTGCTGTGGGTTTTTTACTATTCTCTGAGTACCCCGAGTAAGTAATAATCTCAGGAGATAAGAATTATATAGTTTTTGAGAGGTGAATGAGCTGTAAATAAATGAAGGTATATTGAATATACTTAACAATAAAATATGGCATCCAGAAAAAAGGAAGATAAAGTACTTTCTAAATCGGAGAAGAAAGGCCAGAAATCGGAGAAACGCCTCTCTGCTTTCTTTGTACCTCAGAAAGGCCAAGAGATTTTGGAACATTCTATTTTAGACCCCATTCAATTTGGGGAAAACTCATCACCCTTAATGTCCAAAGAAAAATAAATAGTAACATCTTCTTTTTTAAAGGCATGTATGGAAGATCTTTCTATTGATATTAAATCTGATTTGTTGGAAAAATTCTTAGATATTAAGATGGACTTATCCTCTTTGGCGGGGAGATTACAGAGAATAGAGGATAGACAGGAAAATGTTGACCAACAGCTACAAGACTTGAAAGTTGCACAGATTAAGTTGACAGAAAAATATAACATAATGGAAGACAAACTACGTGATCTTGAAGATAGATCTAGAAGCTTAAATTTAAGATTTAGAAATGTACCAGAGGACATTACAGATGAAAAGCTCCTGGATTATCTAAAGGAGTTATTTGACTGTTTGGGATTATCCTCTGAACAATATGATAATAATCTGTCTTGGCTTCACCACCTCTTTCAAAAGAAACAGGATCAAAAATTCCCGAGAGATGTTATCGCTGCTTTTGTCTCATTGGACTTTAAACGCAAGGTGTACCAGAGAGCAAGAAATACAGATATTAAGCAAGAAAAATTCAAGGCAATAAAAGTATTAACGGATGTCTCATTTCTTACAAGACAACAAAGAAATGTATTTTCGCCGGTGTTTCCTTCTTTAAAGAAATATAATATTAAATTTAAATGGAACCAACAATCAGCTCTACAAATTTACCATAAGGACATTTGGAAGACCTTCTCAACATTAGAGCAAGCCTGGTTAAAAGACAATAACTTATAGTGTGCAGCAGTCTAGAGTAAAAGGGAATGGGTTAATGGTGGGTTGTTTTTTTCTCTCTCTCTTCTCTTTCTTTATGGTATGTTAGGTATTATGTATTGAGTCCAATATTAGCACTTATAAGCAAATTAGAAGTATACTCATATGGCACTTTAATGATGATAAAATGAATGCACATATAATTCACGATTATTTACAAAATGACTATATTTGAGTATTCATAAGATTTTCTTAGTTGAGGTTTTGATTTTTTTTTGTTGAATTTCCTAATGCAATTTGGGCATGCTAAATTTTCCATCGACTTAGAAGTATATTTGAGAGATATCTTCACTAATTAAGTTTAAATTTAAATATGAGAACCACCATTATTTCGGTAACTATGGAATGTTAGGTATTATATATTAAGCCTAATATTGGCACTTAGAAATAAATTAGAAATATACCCACAAGGCACTTTAATAAGGATGAAGCGAATGTATAAAAAAAAATATAAAACACGATTAGTGTAATAAAGACCTAATATTTAAGTAGATATTGGATTTTATTTTCTCTCTCTCCTCTCATGGATTAGCCTGGTCTCCTTAATCCTCCCTGTGGGTCTCCATATGGGTACCCAGGGCCTGGCTCAGAATTTCTGGCCCAAGCTTAAGATCGATATGATCATTATGGTGTTTGTTTTTGTGTTATGTTTATGTGAATACTGGCAGTTTAAAAAATATCCTTTAATATATTCGGCTTCTCTAAAAGGGGAAAAAAAAAGTGGGGTGTAAATTCTATTTGCTAAGGAGACTAAATTTGATTGTACATATCGCTTCTTAGACCCTGAAGGAAGATTTATATTACTAGTTGGAGTTTGAATGAAATAGACTATACACTGGTCAATGTTTATCTCCCTAATAAGGATCCTATAAAAACCCTTGTGAAAATTCTTAATTTGGTTGAACAAGTTAAAAAGGGAAGATTAATAATAGCGGGTGATTTTAATTGTATTCTAGACACCCAAATGGATAAGCAATTAGCAAAGCATCAACAAATAGATAAAGTCTTGAAGAAAAAAGCAGTAAACTACTGCTATGGTGTTAAATATTCAAAGTAATATATTATCTTCTTTGAAAAAAGAATATGATTTTCTTTGGACCAATAAGGAACTTTTCTATTTAGGTCTGATAATTACAACAGATCCTTCACGCACCATGGAGACCAATTTTTTTAAATTATTAAAAGGAGACTCATCTATTATTGAAAGTTTGGAGAGCTCAAGAAATATCCTGGTGGGGTAGGATTAATACAATCAAATCATACATAATCCCGAAATGGATTTATTTATTTCGTATGCTCCCACTTTCTATTCCTATACACTGGCTAAATATGATCCGAAGTAATATTAATAATTTTATCTGGAAAGGCAAAAAACCCAGAATTAATATTACTATGCTTTCTAAGAAAGGACATCAGGGCGGTATGGGATATCCTTTAATATGCCAAGTATATCAGGCTAATATGCTAGTTCATGCTAGAAGATTACAAATTAAGGAAGCCCAAACTCAAACATGGTATAAAACTGAGGCACATAGAAGTGGAGTTAAAAAATTTGCATCTCTTCTGTGGAGTGATGAAAAAAAGTTATCGACTAACACTTAAAGAATGGAAAATTATCAAGAAAAAATTTAACTTTAATAACAAAATTTAGGGAAAATTCATATTGCTACTTTGGAACAAATCTTACCGGATTTCAACTTAAAAATTGGTATAAAGATTTCCCTTATTTAATATCGGATATGTGTAATAGCAAACAAATGTTAAGTTTTGAGGAATTCAAGACAACTTTTGACCTACACCCAGAGAAGTCTTTAACTTTCTTCGTTTGAAGAGTTTTCTTAAAGGACCACTATAGTGCCAGGAAAACATACTCGTTTTCCTGGCACTATAGTGCCCTGAGGGTGCCCCCACCCTCAGGGACCCCCTCCCGCCCGGCTCTGGAAGGGGGAAAGGGGTAAAAACTTACCTTTTTCCAGCGCTGGGCGGAGAGCTCTCTGCTTCCTCTCCTCCTCCGTTACGCCCCGCGGCTGAGCTGTGCGCGCATTCAGCCGGTCTCATAGGAAAGCATTTACAATGCTTTCCTATGGACGCTGGCGTGCTCTCACTGTGAAAATCACAGTGAGAAGCACGCAAGCGCCTCTAGTGGCTGTCAATGAGACAGCCACTAGAGGAAATAGGGGAAGGCTTAACCCATTCATAAACATAGCAGTTTCTCTGAAACTGCTATGTTTATTAAAAAATGGGTTAACCCTAGCTGGACCTGGCACCCAGACCACTTCATTAAGCTGAAGTGGTCTGGGTGCCTAGAGTGGTCCTTTAAAGACAATTTGTTATCTCTTGATGGTAGAATAGAGAGTTTGATTACTAAAATCTTTACAGGGTGTGAAGTTAAAAATGTGATATCAATTGCTGCAGAATTATTAAGTATATCGGGATCTCAGGCGTTACCTAAATCATTAATATAATGGGAATCGGACTTAGGGATCAATATTCCTCCAGATATATGGTATAAATCCTTTCAGAAGACAAAAAAATATATTCATTATCTCAATATTTTAGAAACTTTTATTAAGGTGGCATACAGATGGTATATGGTTCCATTACGTTTAGTTAAAATCTCACAGATCAATGAACCTAATTGTTGGCGTTGTTTCCATATTGATGGATCAATGCTTCATATTTGGTGGTCTTGCCCTAGAATTAAATCTTTATGGAACTTGACATTCGGTCTTATCCACTTATTAGGGGATAAACGATTTGAACAAAAGTCAGAATTGGCTTTATTACATATAATGGGTCAAAATACGAATCAAATATCTGATATGGCCCTTATTCATTGTTTAATGGCAGCTAAGACCCTTATAGCAAGTCATTGGCGAAGTATTGAGGTTCCTACTAAGGTTCATCTTAAAAACCAAGGGATATACCAATTAGAGAGGGAAAAGGGAGTATACTCTATGACGCCAATTCCTAAGTCGAGAACATTGGACTTATATGATATATTCTTAGAGAGGACAAATACTTTTTAAAATTAGTGATATAACCTACTCCGATAAGTAAAAAGGTTTCCTGGTAATGATAGTAGGATGGAATTAGGACGAGCAATTATATACCATTGATTAATTATTTGCTTTCTGGGTATTGATGGAGGGATCTCTGATCGGGTATTATCTAAAGATGTAAAATGACCATTATTGTCTTGTTTATGTCATTTGTCCTTTTTGGTGACTGTATAATTGTGATATATATTATTCATGTATGTAAAATGTTATTGTAATATTAAGAAATTTTTTGATGCTATATGGGAGGATTGTGTACTCCCGTTATGGTGTATGTTAAATTTTTCTATAAATTAATAAAAATAATTTAAAAAAACAAAAACAAAACAAAAAACAACCACCTTCACTAATGGTGGCTTCCACGCAGAATGAACTTGGAGAGTCAAAGTTATATAATAAATCCAACACTATACAAACTCAGTCCGAGAGCTTTGATTGGTTGATTTACATGGCATTAAGGGTCCTCCAGTAAACCAATAAATCTCAAGTTACTCCTACCACCATTTTCCAGGTCATCAACTTTATCAGACAGGAATTTGATCTTGTTGACTGCAGTTGATCTTAAAGTTAAGTTGGTGTGGCCTCTGTTCTTGCACATTACTTCTGGGGATTTAGGAGATTGCTTCATTGATGGATAACTTGATATTCAATCTTGTGTCTGATTTAGGTCATATATCAGCCAAAATTTTCTTAGCTAGTGAAATTGATTGCATTGTGCTGGGGAACATGGAGCCAAGTGCACGTCATAAATGTCTTGATACTTTTGTCTTGATAGGTTTGTGAGATTTTGGAAGTGATTTCTGTTGTTGACACATAGGTTGCACAATCCTTTCCACCACTGTAGTTATCACGAGAAAAGAAGGCTAGAGTAATGCAATTTGACTTGTAGTATATGTAGACACTCTGAAAAAGTAACATTAATTATGAATCTAGTAATTCAGAGGGCATCTCAGAAGACAGAGTGCCGAATAAGGTATGCAGCAGGTGTAGTTGAAGTGGGGTAAAATAATAAAAGAAAGAACCTGATTAAACAGAAACTCAGAAACTTCCAATCTAGTGTGTTAAACCAACACTTCAGTGTATACACTGTAACATCACTAGAAGTCTGTAAAAAGGAATTTAAACCCTCAAGGACACATGACGGACATTTTCCGTCATGCTGGAGTTTAGTTTCTAAAGCTGTGTCCTTAAGGGATAAACAGAGTTACAACTACACTCTCAATTGCAAAGTAACAAAATTCCAGTTTCTAAATACAATCACTGCTAATACATGTAACCTAAAGCCCCATAAGAGTGAAACTAGCTATGCAAAATATAATGTAGCCCACTATACCCATGGTGTAGTCAATACCACTACTGTCAAGACAGGAAAGAAAAGCTGGCAAAAGAAGTATCCCGGCTACTAACGTACCAAGTAACCTACTTAACCCAAGGGAAATAATCTGGACATATAAGGAGAAGGAGAAAGGGGTAGTTTAATACCTCAGCTACGTAAGATGTGACATGTTGCCTACTGAACCAGGCTATAAAACTGATAAAGCACTTCAATAAAAGCAGGAAGAACTAAATACAATACAGCTCAAAGTGCTATTCTACTGCCAAGTACTAGTGAAAAATTAATAAAAGGTTGGTAAAATAACGCTCAACACTTATTTCGTTACATACAGCTGCACACCATCATCAGGAGAAAATGAACCTCAATCTCTGCGGGATGTCTAAAGGCAAGGTTTCTCCGCCCAGCCTTAGATGGAGCAGTAAACCCACTTCACATATCGGGAACCCACCCATGGGAAGTGGAAGCTGGCAACTCTGCTATTACTTAATGTAATTGTAGACAAGTGTTATATTTGGAAGGAAAAAGGTTTGGTCTATGTCTCATATTTTGAAGGTGAATCTCTGCATTTGAATTGATACAGTGCTCCAGCAAAAAAGGATACAAACAAAACTAAGATATTTGCAAAAGCAGACAGACAATGCAAGCTTAAGTTGGGGTTGCATAAAGGTAAGGTTATGTATACACATCATATAGGTCAGGGTAACATTGTACAAAGGTGTATTAGGGCCATATTGGAATACTAGTAGGCCCAACTCTTGGTAGTCCTATGAAGAAAGCCCAAAAGCATAAGGTGAACCAAAAGGCCAACTCAAAGTTGTCAGTTTCAGTAAGAACTAAGGGTGAACGAGGACTTTAAAAATGGTGGTTGTGACAATGTGGCTGCATGAACTGCAACTCTTTGGCTGGAGAACATGTGGCTTAAAATGAGGATTAAATATGGGAATTCCTCTTGCCCACTAACACGCTGAAGGGGCCCAAATATTATGTTTGACAACAAAACAGTGGTCATGAATGTAAAGCTCCATGCAGTGTCCTACCAGATGCCAGTCTCCTCACCCAGGACTGTGGAAGTGACTTATGTTTTCGACATTTGCACTTTGATGTGCTAGGGATTCCTCTTGCCTGCCTGTAGGGGCCCAGAGTATAAGGTCCAGCAACAAGTTGATGGTTGCGAATGACAGGTTTCCTCTTGGGGAGCAGTCTCCTCAACCAGGAATGTAAAAGCAGCCTGTGTATTGTCTGTAGATGGGCTGAAAAAAAAATAATAATAAAAAAGTACTATACTCACAAATGGTCTCTGGTAACACTGACATGGTACTGACATGGAATTATGTGACCTCTGGGGGAGCGAAAAGGCCAGTAAAACAAACCACAATGGCAGGCTGCCCAAATGCTCTTGGGAAGAGGTTTGCTAAGATCTGGATGAAATGTGGCAGTGGCTGGTGAAACAAAGCACAGAGCTAGCCAAGATGAATCCATGTCCATTGTCTTCTCCTCCTATGTCTGGAATCATATATTTAATATAAAATAATATGAGATCTGTTATATCTGGTTATGTGAAGCATTGAGAAGAGAATTAAAAATATTCAGTAAAATTATCACATGGAAAAAATAACAGAATTTAGCAGTTTTTCCATTTAGGCCTTAAATTTGAGATCTGAGCTTTAGTGAATAGTTTTTCTGGAGAACAATGAGTGTGCATTTACCCAGAGTAAGAGATTCTCCATTCTCCTTTCACAAACTGAATTCCACTTTCGTTATCTAAATATACCAAACATCAAATCACAGCTGGTCACATTTTCAAGTTAAAGCCTTTTATACCATTCGGAGTATGCGTTCTGTATTTTTCCAGTATATATCACATCATGGTAATTAAAAATAAAATAACACAAGAAACATATGGATTTTCCTTTATTGAAAACAAAATTATACAGAATGAAAACCTGGAAAGCAAATTAGAACACAATACTAAGTCATAAATATTAACAGGAGACAATATAGATAAGATGTACAGATAAAACCCAAATTTGTACATAAAATGTATTTGAATGTGTCAATACAGTGGAAATGAATGGACACAGACCGATTGTGCTCATTCTTCTAGATGTTTAGGTCTTTTTCAAAGCTGTACCCATGTTGTACGATGGATTTATTTATACTTTTAAGTATACATTTTGCCATTCGACTTTAACTCTAGAAGATGTAGAAAATGCTAAATATTTTAAAATTATTTTAGATCATTATAAGCCTACAGACTTATGAGTAGTATAGTGTATTGGATTTGAATCAATTTAATCACCAGCCTTCCAGTTTTACAGAATTTAGATGCAAGTTGTTTATAAGGCTAGTGATAATATTATTCCATTTTACAAGCAGTTAATGTTTTATTTCCACCCAGAACGAAATAAAAAGAGGAAAGCAGTGTGTAACTTCCATTATTTCAGACAATCCCCTTCACCAAAATAAAGTGTAACACAAAACTGGGTCGTGGGATTTAAAGGCATGCTGTAAACTGCCGCTGGTAGGATAAACACAACAGTGAGTTCAGCTCTGTGTAATTCCAATACAACAAGAAATTGAGATTCGTTGCATTAGACTTGGACACACATGGAACACTAAGGTTTCTGTTGGATATATAAAGATGAAATCTGTCCTCAGCATGATAAATTACAAAATATAAAGAAAGGAATATCCAAAACAGATTTGAACTGAAGTTACAATGCAGAGCATTTCTCACACTATAAGTGGTGCTTTAAGCTAGGTTTTACTTTTAGTTTTTAAGGTGAACTTCTCACCGCCACTTTTCAAACACAAAGCAAAGGTGTTTAATCAAAATTCAAGACATTGCCATCGAAGTGTGTCTGAACATGCTTCTCGAAGATCTGTTGGTCACAGTCTGGAGGAAATTGCTCGTTACACATAGGGCACACCTTCCAGTGACTTTCAACGTGAGCTTCAAACTGAACTTGATCAAAATTAGGAGGAAAAACCAAAGAGCATAGAGGGCACTTCTTCTGCATAGCATATCTGAAAAAACGCACAAAATGTCAGTTACTGTCCAGGATACAAAACTTATCCATTGCACTCAATCATCGTCATATATTTCTGAGCTTTACTGCATTATTACATACAAACAGCAAGAATTAATGTTTAGTCTGAACACAAATAGTAAACCTTAAAGACTACCTTGGATCAAAGCAGAAACTAGCTTGCTCTTGTCCAGAAAAGCTGGGATCGTCCTGGTCCAGATGGAAAATGACATCATCATCATCCTAAAAAAAGTGAAGAAAAAATATCATAATAACAATCACTAAACAAATAAAACGCATAAACATAGTTCTAAACAGAACGTTCTTGATTTGCCCAAAATGTTTAGGTCACACCTGACACCACATACATCTGACCACTTTTGGGGATGGTTGCTGCAACTTGGTTCTTAGGTAGGAATAAAATTTTCTTAAATGGATCCTATAGTGCCAGGAAAACAAGCCTGTTTCCTGGCACTATAGGTTCTTGGAGTGCCTCCCTCCCTCGGCACTGTAGGAGTTAAACCCCTTCAGCCACTTACCTTAATCCAGCACCGGCTACCTCAACGCTGGTGACCTGTCCTCCCCCACCAACGTAAGCTCCCGAGTGGAGTCGGAGGGGCGCGCACATTCAAACCCGCCCATAGAAAAGCATTACTAAGTGCTTTCTTATGGGGATCTTATTTGACGCTGGACACCGTGGGGAAATTCAATAAGTGTGATTTACTCAGTGTAAATCGCGGAAGCGCCTCTAGTGGCTGTCTGGTAGACTGGATTAACCTTACAGTGTAAACATAGCAGTTTCTCTGAAACTGCTATGTTTTCAGCTGCGGGGTTAAAACTAGGGGGACCTGGTACCTAGACCACTTCATTGAAAAACATTAATAGTCCAAAATGAAGGTCCTATTTCAGACACTTAAAGAACTACCATAATTGCAAATGAACTATGGAACAATTACTAAAACATTATTTTACCCAATTTCATGTCATTCTTATAACCCATGCTTTTCATTGTTGTGGTACTGCATTGCAGGAGCCATACAGCAAAATATGTTTCTTAGCAGAAACAAACATTTATTGTAAAAAAATTTAAATAAAAAAAATGGATAAAGACACTGCGTGTTTTAAAAGAAACAAAGAAGTTGCACACTTTGTGGGAATAAAACAATAATACACAGCATGTTCCTTTGGTGGATCTGAGTCGTGCCGAACAGACAAGTAGTACAGAGACCATTGTGCACAGCAGGAGCAGCGGAACATTAAACTTGTATTCATTTGCCAAAAGACATCTGTCTGTTTGGCAGTTCTGTGTTCTTCACTGATTCCAGCTATGGACTGTATCATACTCTGCGCATGAACTTGATGAATACATATCTTTCATGTTAATATGGATCTCTTAATTAATACTATTTATGTTTTTGCATTTGATCCCTCAATTAATTATTTCAGAAAGAGGCTCAAAAGACATGCAAATATATGAAGAATGTACAACAGTTGGTGGAAAAGTATAAAAGCTATACATTCCTGTGAATAATCCTCTTAACCCACACACAACGATTGGAGCTGTATAAAAAAATCAGTCTGGATAATAATTCTGAGAAAATAAACAAAGTGAGATAATAGTGCAGATAAAAACTACTAGAAAGTCCATTGGCATGAAGAGTGGATTTGTTTCCAGAAAAACAATATATACTAGAACCCTAGGAGTATTTAGATTTGTTGGAGTTTCAGCACTTCCTGCACTTTACAAAAGAGGGTTCTGGATCTCCCTAAGGATCCTGAAGTGCTATACACCAGAGCCAAGTGGATTCATGGTTCTACATTTGTGAGTGTATCTAATTTATTTGACTACAATACTTTCTAGTAGTTTTATCTGCACCATTATCTACCTTTGTTTATTTTTACAGAATTATTATCAAGACCGAGGGAAGTATACATTTTTGTGTGTGTGTGTTTCCTTTTAGAATGAGTTAAGGCATATACTGGAACATCGTTTTTAATATAATATATTAAACACACAAAGTGGAGGAAAACACCCCTCCTACAGCGAATTTATCCACACTTGGTCATGAGAATTGCAACATTTTGCTCTTTAAATCCTGCCCATAAAGATACACTATACTATAGGCACCAAACAACATTAGCTTAATAAAGCAGTTTTAGTGGATAGATCAGTGGTTCCCAAACTTTTTAGGTTTAAGGCACGGTTAATATTTTAATATTTTTCTAAGTCAAAAGAATTTCTAGGTTTTATATATGTACAGCGCTGCGACATATACTAGGCCCCTGTTTTGCAAAAATGTTTCCTGGTCAGGGGCGGATCCAGAACCTATTTTTGGGAGGGGCACCGGTAGATTATTTAAAGAAACAATGCAGGCACAATAACCACTACAGCAGTCTGTAGTGGTTATGTTGACAGGAGTACAATAGTGCCCTCCCAGGGTAAGCAGTCATACTACGGTCTATCCCTCATAGGAAGCCATAATATTATGGGCAACTTGGGAGATGACAGTGGAAAAACACAAGTCTGACCTCCTCTGTAACACAAATCCCATTCAATGCCTCAAAGAACTATCTGCTTTTCATCTTAAAGCAATCTGTATAATCTCACTGAGGACAACTCGGGACTCGCAGATCACATCTTCTGAAGGCAAAGGATGTCCCTATTCTATAGGTCTGATATTAAGAATTTAGTTATTCTGTACACCCATGGCTAAAATAAATTTTTTCTAAATAATAATAAAAAAAAAAAAAAAGGTAAAAATATTAAATGGAAAAGAGAAAAATGGAGTATAGCAGCCCTTCGCAACTTGCTACATAGCCAAAGCTTGTCAGCAAATGATCACAAGACCACGGAGCAGATTCTGTAGGTTTTGTTAGAGGGCAAAACAGCAGCTTGGAAAGAGCACTCTGCTAATTAAAATGCCCCTGACGACTGGAGCAGAAACGCACCTGTCGTATGAAACGTCTCTGCCAGAACAGTATGATTAGCTATGCAAAGTACAAGGTAAAGGTGGCTAACATCAGCGAGCCAACAGTTTAGACCTTAAGACAAGCAGCAGAACTTGTGACAGGCATCCTAATTATCTTCAATCAGACACACGGAGGACCTGAACGAAAGAGGGAGACGTACAATTTTCTCTATTATGGGTGCTGAGCACAAAGGCTAACATCATGCCTGTCTAGGCACTTATCTGTTTCAGCAAAAGGTTAATAGCAATTAAATGCAGCAAACTAGACTAAATGAGAAACAGGTCATGATACTGCAGTACTGCAAAGATCACAATACTCAACAGATAAGTATTCCTCATCAGCTGTGACTTGCCAAGACCGAGAAGTCCTCCAGAAGAAATGTGGAAGTGCAAATCTAACAAACATAGTGACATTTCAATTTAATTTAGGGTGCCACTCTTGCAAAGAATAAAAAAAAGTATACTTGATGTTCCATGTTCCACACAAGGGAACAATTACCACGTATGTCCATGTGACAAAGAGAAAATATTTTACTAATATAATTGCCCCCCCAAAAATCAAGGATTTAGGCATTTCTAAAAGGTTATGTGGGCTTTAAAAATCCTTTTTTTTTTTTTTTAAAGTGACAATTCTCAAGTCAGCTAATAAGAGTCACTGATCTGAAGTGATGGGAAGACTCCTTACCAATTTAAATGTTATATGCAACTTTGTTAATGTCTTTTTAAATGAAGATAAATAACAGAGTTTAATCATGTATTTGGAAAACACAAAGACAGGCTTAACCCAAAGACAGAGTTAATTGTTTAATGAACTGGGTATTAAAAGCAATGATATCAAAATGTCACGTCCTTCAACCTTTTCCCTAGACTCACGATGCAGTTACATTCCCATGCTGACAAATAGATGAGAACCAGCTGCATTCATTTATGATTCTCCCAGTAAGCAACAGAATGAGCAAGCCAACAACCATACCACATTATAAATGATCTACTTTTCTTTTCAGAGAACACTGAAGTCAGTTCATAAATCATAGCTCTTTTTCCATCACATCAAAGATTTTTGAATCACAAGTTCAGGCAGTGAGATATATAGGACCTCTTAAATAAGTGCAACAAGAAACTCAGTGGTTTACTGTTACAATACTATATATATCATTAAGTGATAGACATTTGTAAGTTAATCTGATCAATAGAGATAACTGCAATTATAGGACTATATAATTATAGTTATCTGACTTACACTGTTATCGTCGGGATCTTCCAAGCCATCCGGTCGACTCAGGTTGCGAGCAGGCTGGCTACATACAACCTTGTCTTCCAGCCCCCATGTGTTGGCCCTTGCTGGTGGTCCAACAGGTAGTGCCTTGAAATCCTCTGGTTTAAACGCACCGTCAGCTCCATCTGACCTCAAGGAAAAAAGGACATTTTTAAGAACGTGTTCTGTAATGTAGTTCTTGAATACTCTTCCAGAAACTTTAGAAATAAAGTGTACCTGGCATAGTACACACAAATTATGCTCAATTTACAAGGCCCAGCATGTATTTCCATAAATTGTCCTAGCAAATGTGTTACTTTAAAAATAAATAAAAACAACTTCCCTAAATGTCAATCAATTCTTAAGTCATAAACCACAGTGACAATGGCACAGCTTGCATACTTGACTGGCGAGGAGCAGGATAGCTATTTCCCATGTGGTTCTCCTGCTTGCCTTCACAACATCTATAGTGTAGGCACGGAAACAAACTGTTGCTGCTTTGATTATGCCCTAGTGAGCGACACACTACCAGCACCTTAAACTTTGACAAATTAATATTGGATCTGAGTGACAGATATATTACCCCCTTTACACACTGATGCACCGGCAAATAAACTTTGTGTTAATGTGATGAGGGAGATGCACCTTACTTTAGAAAGGACTGCCGTGATTCCAAAGAAGAGCTAATCAGATAGGAGCTGGGTAGTAGGGAACAGAGGTAGGTGAGTAAATGGAACATGCATCATGGCGGCCATGGATGATTCTGCTCATTTGCCAATGGCAGCACCACTGACACTATAAAAAATGTTCAATGCTGGAAATGTGTTTTTAAAGCTCATAATGTAATGGCAGGCCACAACATGTGTGTGACATCAATAAATTCTGTTCTTTTTATTAAAAGGTTTATTGACACTGCTCCTGTCTTTCCACAGTATTCCTGAATGATATACTGCAGTGCAACACCTTTAATGGACTGTGAACCCACCTCTTGTTGCTTGTGTTGCATAAGGATTCCCAAACTGCAGAATAGGTTGTTGGACAGGGATGATGGGCACTGCCCTATGTTCATCACAGTAAGCATCATAAAACTGCAAACTCTGGCCACCACTCTGACCCCCACTTGCCAAATTCTGTCCACTTGCAGCTCTTTCTGATAGTTTCTCCAAATTTATCTCTAGTTCCTGGAAGAAGTGAATAGCAACACAGGCTTAATTATTAGTGTAAGTTAGTGCTAGCATTATATATCTGAACAAAACATTACTCCAGCACATCCATTATATTATATTGATCCATTATATGGAACATGACAGCACAAATGGCAAACACTGAAACTGAAAATGTGATACAAAATATCTAGATAAAAACTGAATTAAGGCATAAGAAAGCCTATTCTACTTTTCTTCCAGTATGCACAGCGGATGATTTCTATAGTACAATCAAACAATGTAAACTGCATGATTAAGATAAGATTATTAAAGGACCACTATAGTGCCAGGAAAACATACACGTTTTCCTGGCACTATAGTGCCCTGAGGGTGCCCCCACCCTCAGGGTCCCCCTCCCGCCCGGCTCTGGAAAGGGGAAAAGGGTAAAAACTTACCTTTTTCCAGCGCTGGGCGGAGAGCTCTCCTCCTCCTCTCTCCGCCCGCTGAATGCGCCGCCAGCCGCATTAGTCGCGTGCATAATGCTTTTCGACGCTTGCGTTCTCACTGTGAAAATCACAGTGAGAAGGACGAGCGCCTCTAGTGGCTGTCAATGAGACAGCCACTAGAGGATTAGGGGGAAGGCTTAACCCATTCATAATTATAGCAGTTTCTCTGAAACTGCTATAATTATGAAAAAATGGGTTAACCCCCGCTGGACCTGGCACCCAGACAACTTGATTAAGCTGAAGTGGTCTGGGTGCCTAGAGTGGTCCTTTAAGTAATTAGTTATGGCTAAAAGAAGAGTCACTCCCTCTTTTTTACGATCCTCCATTCTGGAGTTTGCTCGCCACCCCTATATTAAGATAATTTATTGAAAAAACATGCAAAAAGACATCTTCAAGTCTCATGTTTGCCACAAATCTATTAATTCATCAGAACTTCTTTTAGTGGACGTTGTGAGTACTCCTACCTGTACGTCCTACTGGGATATGTAGGTAGATGTCAAGAATAATTATGATCATTAAAAATGTTTTTTAAAAAGCATGAATGGATGGGAAGAAAGAAATGTAAAGGGATACTGTAGGCACCATAATTGCTTCATCTCACTGAAGTGATTATAGTGTCTGGAGTTCCCAGGCGCAGTCCTTCCATTGAGCAATAAACCCGGTTTAACTTTTAATGCTAAAGAACAGTTCCCAGCTGCCCATTTACTCTGTGCTGCTTGGGCTAATGAGGAAGCATTAGCCTGAGCAACAATAGGCGGCTGTGATTGGCTGAGAGTATCAGCTTATCACAGTGCCATTGCAGTTACAAATTAGTAGGGCTACAAGGAAGTGTGTAATCTCATCCCTAGCCATAGCTACAGTGGGGTTGAGGATATGGGAAGCAAGGAACTCCATTTCGATGAAATGACTGTAGTCCTTACAGTGTCCCTTTACAATCTTGCATGTGTGGGCTGCTGTCTAAGAAATCTTATAAAATGTAATGTGAAAGCTCAAGTCACTTGTGTGCAAGACCTTGCATAGTAAGGGAATGCAGGCATAGGTTATATTATGATATCACTAGCTAGGCATTATTGGTGTGCAGTTAGAAAGCAGGCATAAGTTCTATAATAATATCATTAGCTAGGCATTATTGGTGTGCAGTTAGAAAGCAGGCATCGGTTCTATAATGACATCATTAGCTAGGCATTATTGGTGTGCAGTGAGGAAGCAAGCATGGGTTATTTTATGACATCACTAGCTAGGCATTATTGGTGTGCAGTTAGAAAGCAGGCATCGGTTCTATAATGACATCACTAGCTAGGCATTATTGGTGTGCAGTTAGGAAGCAAGCATGGGTTATTTTATGACATCACTAGCTAGGCATTATTGGTGTGCAGTTAGGAAGCAGGCACAGGTTATATAATGACATCATTAGCTAGGCATTATTGGTGTACAGTTAGGAAGCAGGCACAGGTTCTATAATGACATCATTAGCTAGGCATTATTGGTGTGCAGTTAGGAAGCAGGCACAGGTTCTATAATGACATCATTAGCTAGGCATTATTAGTGTGCAATTAGGAAGCAAGCATATGTTATATTATGACATCATTAGCTAGGCATTATTGGTGTGCAGTTAGGAAGCAAGCATATGTTATATTATGACATCATTAGCTAGGCATTATTGGTGTGCAGTTAGGAAGCAGGCATAGGTTCTTTTATGGCATCATTAGCTAGGCATTATTCGTGTGCAGTTATCTTACCTTCCTATCATTCTCCAGTTTTTTTCTCTCATTAAGGAGAATTTCAACATTATGTGAAAGGGCCATTATTTCCTTATCTTTTTCTGCAGACTGGATCTAAAAATATATATATTTTCATTAAATGAACATTTTATCAACATTTGAGTATGTGTGCCAAGAATATGCAAACTTAATAAAAGAATAATATGCAATCCAATACAGTGAAAATATAATTTATTGTAATCAGTGCTAACCTGGCAGTGGCTTACATTACAGCTGTCCTTTCATCAGGATAAAACACCTATTAATATTGGTAAATAGAGGCTTTAAGCAATGATATGTCAAATGAATGAATTGATATCCAATAAGTGTATGTATATATTTAACCTAACACTTTGTTTCACAGAAATTTCTATCTTCCGCAGTCAACCACATCCTTTTTTTGTCAAATGAATGAACCCTGTACTGTTTGCACCTTAAAAGTCAGTCAATATTTAAATCTGTTCTCACCCAGTAAGTATCTATCTATTGTTTGAGGGCTGTATACTATATACTGTATACTAATCTGTAAGTCACTATTGTATTACATGTAACACAGAGAATTGTCACAAGGTTTTGGTCTGCTGCTTGACGTAGATAATTATTTTTAGCTTTTGTGTTTTACACGTATAGGTTATTTACCAACAGGGTTATTTATTCACTAAAGTGATAATTCAAAGTGAATTTAAAATTTAAGGTCAAAATAGTCAAACTGGAAAAAATTGCTCAATCAGCTATGCTTTCAGTTCACCTACTCTGGCCTTTGACTTTGAATTCAGTTCTATTGGCCTTAAAACTGAATTAACTTTGAACTCTCACTTTAGCAAATAGCCCAATTATTTGCCATTTTATTGTTTTTCATAAAATACATACTGCCTTAGTCTGGTTGAGCGTCATGTATTTTCCACACATCAGCAGAGCTGCAGGTAGCCATTGCTGTTATATATGATATAGAAGTCAGGGGTTAGAACATATCTGAGTTCTCAGAGTATTTCCTGTCCTGGCAGATTTAAGATGTCTGGCTTGTGAGTCCATCAGTGACATACAAACAGAACAGAGCTCGACAAGTTTAGCATGAAAAACTCTTAGGGGCAGACCTCTCTTAAAAACAAGAAACCGTTTCATGCCAGGAAAGGTTATCAGATTTAAAACACTTGAACTCTGCTCTTATGTCACCAAAACTCTTAAATAAAATATTTTTTTTCCCCTTTACTGTAGCCCATGTGCTAGTCTGTTCACAAAGATTTATACATTACTTGCCACAAACATGACAAGAAACAAGATTTTCAGTTAACAAAAAAGTCTGTTATGTCTCTTGGTGTGTGTGTCAGTTTTTTGTTTTTTGTTCTTTAGAAAAAATCCTCTATACATTGTGCAAATTGCTTCTTTTACAACTAAAAACCATGCGTGTGATTTACACAGAACTTATTGTAAGATGCTCTCCTGTACATATACGTGTGAACGCCTTTACCCTTTAAAAAAATTTTAAAAGGTCAATACGGACATAAAAGTAAAACGTTTATTATTTACATTACTGAAAGATTAAAGTAATGGCACTGCACATTTAGGGTCCACTATATGAAATGTAACTGCCTGGTATTAAAAAGTAGCCAATATTAAAATATAAAAAATTTAATCTAGAATTTTTTCCAGATCGTACAAGAAAAAAAGGCCTTCCATGCTCTAAATGCCTGTCGAAGAGCAAAGAATAAAACACAGATACACTGACTGCATCTCTTTCAAACAGCTAGCTTGATTAAAAAAAAAAATTCCATACTTTATATTGATCTTCAATTGCTGCTAACTGTAGCTTGATGCTCTCATTTATTTTAAGCTGTTCCTTCCATTTCAGTTCCACCATGGCTACTTCATCAGCATAAGCACTGGATCTCGCTTTTTCTTCCTAAACGAGTAAAATAACACATTCATAGTTACAATTATGTTTTTAACGATTCACAATAGCAAAGAGTAGGTAAGCAAATAGACAGGACAGACCGAGCGAGCAAACTCAGTATGTCTACCATACACATTGCTGAGCTCTCTGCTCTCTATTGAAAACGTGTTTATTTATTTTAAGAAGCACTGTCACTTATTGGATCTTTACATTTTTGGATAAGAGAGCCCAAGTGTGATATGTCTAAATGCATGTAGCGTCTCGCGGTTGAAGTACCAGACAGACATACCTACCTAAACCTCTCGCTCCTTGGTGGAGTCACCATGGAGTCTTCAGCTCCTGGTGGCTTCACCTATCAGAAGCTCAGTTCACTGATGTGCTCTTACCCTAAGACTTCAGAAGACTGTGGGATATTGGATATTTGTGACTGTACAAGTGAAATGCCATTGGCAATTCTTATGCACTGCATGAGAAGATGCCTGTTCCCATCAGCAATTGCATGACTAATGGGAAATGGCATGATGTGTCAGTTAACACTGGTTGGAATCCTGCTCATTATCATAAATCAGTCTTTAAGAGTATTTCCGTAGAGATTGTATCTTTTTGAAAGACTCAAAATTGAGAGTACCACTTTAAACTAAGAAATGCTATATTTATCCTACCTTCTATCTTGCCTAAACACAAACTTGAATACTCAACCTGATTTTAAATCATCACAACATAGAATTACTAATTTACAAACTCTAGTTTGTTTGGGTGCACAACCTAACGCAATGTGCTGTGCACACCTAAAGTGTGGGAAAAGGTTACATTTGCACTGGGATAAGCAGGGAATGCATTACCTGGAGATGGATATTATATGTGTGTTCCAACCAATGGGACCAATGGCAATATAATGGAATTGAAATCCAATTCTGATTCTCGACCCATTAGTGATGGCAGTTACACACAACAAAAAAACTATATTTATAAATCTATAAACCTGATGTATGCAACATTTCTAAAGCGTTTTAGTAACAAAGCATGTCAATGTGTTAACAGTTGTGACTTACTGTCAGCATTTGTTTACACTTCCGATATTTTTCAGTTTTTTCAGTTATTTCCTTAGTCATTTCATGGACTTGTTCTTTTATAACAAAATCAGGAACAGACTCTGACAAAAATGGACTCACTGTGAACAAGCAATAAAATAGATTTGATAATATAAACCACACGCACTCTGCATAAATATGAATGCTTGCAAATATAAAGACTTGCATAAACATGCACATGCAAATGTAAATCTGGAGGGCAGGACTTTCACTTTCTAGATCAGCTTGAGCTAACATAATGCACAACTCCCTTGTAATTTAAAAAAGACACCACAAGCACTATAACCACCATAACAAAATGCAGTTATAGTCCCTCTCGCAGGTAGCCAGAAGCATGCAAAATACAAATACAAAGTACTATCTAGTCATATTATCTACAGATACAGTATCCAAAATAAAAGATGTTAAGAATTTTTCAGGAGTGTGAAAATATCACTCCACAATATAGAGCTTTGTGTCCATAGATATGCCCCTCCCCCCCCCCCTCAAAATGAATATAAACAGAATTCCAAATTTTAAAAGCACAATTTATCAGGATTCAATGATAAAAGTAATAAAAACAGTTGGTGTCAATCAGAGCAGCTTACTTGAAATAAATGTGAGATAGCAACATACACTGAATCTCTTAAACAGCGTTTAAAACAAATGCCGGTTGCCATCTACCTGCAAGAGGCAATACAAGTGAAGGAGATAGAAGGGTTGATCCTATTTAAAGAAACAGGTGGTACCATCCTGTACACAAGACCTGCACAACATTCTGCGCAATAAAGGATTTTGCGTGGCTTGCAAGGACAGGGGCATAGCTACTATAAGGCGGCACAGGCAGCCATCCTAGGTCACAACGGGCTGAGGGGCGCACAATCCGTTTGACTGGCAGGAGGGGAGTGCACTGCACAAGGTTCCCCTCCAGCCAGTCATTCCTTGTAGCGTGGTCAAGCCGCGAACCTCGGTAGAGAAGCTTCTCTAACCTTTACCTGGTATGACAGGAAGTGCTCACTGAGCGTGCTAAACTGCTTCCTATCAAACCGCGAAGAGGTTTAATGCGCTCCTATACCATGGTCCAAGGCTCAGCTATGCTACACGGAGGATGGACACAAAATTACACAGATGGGTGGGGAAGGGGCCAAAGAGAGACAGAGAAATGGATTGCTGACAAGAAGTATAATACGTCCAATTAATTGTAAGAAAACCTGAAAAATTTATTCAGACTTGTACCGCTTAGCAAAGTAATTTTTATAATATGGTTTATCTATCAACTAAAAACTTTCTGTGGCTCAAAGAAGTTTGTCAATATTCTTTTTGGCCCCTACCTACTGCCAAGTTGTGCAGGTATACTGTAGATGGTACAATGTTCTGCAGTTTGGGGGCTTTTCTTTATAAGCTCAGCCGAAATGTGAGTAAGATTATTGTATTGTCTGTAATATTACGCTATATTCTTGTATGATTTTTTACATTTGAATTCGGACAGAAATTTAAAGAAACACAAACCGTCAATGCTGGTATAAAAGCACTGATCTTTGCATATTCTGTTTATTCTGTGTGTACCGCATGTTTGGTTTTTGGTTTGGTGAAACATATTAGAAAGTATATGCTGCAGCCATTTTAACAAAATTAACCATACTATGTTACCATAAGGCACAGTGTGGCTTCAAAAATTTGAATATACATATATAATCCTTTCAATCTGCATAAAGAGTCACTTTAAAAACAGATCATGCATTCTTACTGCTCAATTCTCTGTCATGTAGGAGGTAAACCTCTTTTGTTTATGCAGCCCAAGCCCAGATGTGACTCAAATTTCCAATATGATTTTACAACACAGTGTGTTTACTATAGAAGTAATTTTCTCCTGCTTTGTTAAATGAACTTTAATTACACACAAAAGGTTAATGCGGGCTCTAGCAGGCAATTAAAAGAGTACTAAATTAAACAAACTGTGCAATAAGTGAAGACCTAAAATATTGTAAGTGTATATGAAAGTTGTGTAAGTCACAATAAGTGGATGTGTGGTTAGCACTGCATTAACAAAAATATTTAAGGGGTGGAGCCTAAGCCTCATGCTGACCAGATGTGTATCGGGCGAGCTCCAGCTTGGCTCACCGATTATTGGGGTTAATGATCAACCACGGCACCCAAATCGGGCTGATTCCACACTGCTTAAACGGGGAGTGCTGTGAAGAACCTACCAATACCTTACTCGAAATCTTCCGACTTCGGGGAGACAGAGGAAGCTTGCTGAGGCCTAAGACGACTGGGCTGGGGAAGGAGGGCCGACTTCTTCGCTCTTAAATTTGAAGTGCGGGCTACCTTCACTCCGGCGGGGGTTACCGGGTCCCTGCTGGGCTGATCCAGAAACTGATACCAACCCTGACAGCTCCTGCAACTAAAGGACTCACACCCAAGCTTGTCAAAATAGCAGGGAGGCCTTCCCTAATGGTACAGAGCCTGACACTAACCTGCGCTGAAGAAAGCAGGGTCACGGTGTGCCCTTTCTGAGACTGGAGGCAATATTCAAGGACTTCTGGGCCCGACAGGACAGGCAATTGGCGACAGACTCGCTGCTGCCTCAAGCTTACGACAAGTTTGAGGACAAAATCTACTATATAGCAAACCGCCTCAGGGAGACAAGCTCCTGCCCCTCTGCCAGCACATAAACCCAAGCCGTTGGAACAGGGGCTCAACACCTTTCCATCTGCGAGAAGGGGGAGGGTTGCACCCCATCAGCTTTGATAGGGCAGAGCTGCGTGTCATCACGCACGGTGTCAGGAGTCCACGCTCCAACCCAGGTCGGCAACAGAATGTCGCACTCCAGCTACAGCCCCACCGGAGACCTGCAAGCCATCTGTACCAGTAGAAGCATCTGTGGCCTTTACAGACCCAGACTTGCAGTGATCAAGCCCACAAGATAAAGCAACCGACTTATGCCCAAATCCAGAGAAGTGATGATGCCCTGACCCGACATTGCCAAGCTGCAACCCCCTACGGACTGCCGTACTCCACACTAGGCGTACCGATAGTGGGAGTAGGATGACACTGTGACCTCAACAGAAAATAGATCCGCTCCCCGTGCATGTGATCCCAGAGGCAATTGTTATGTTTTATGTTGTTCCATTCTATATAGTTGTTCAGCTAACCCTCTTAACACTCATTATTTTATGCAGACCAAATGGAGCCGTGAACCCATATCCCAGTTCAGCACCAGCAGTATCACAGTTGCTAGACTGGCCTGTTTCTTATATGCCTAATCTCATTCTCTCGCCCACTGGCCCATCAAGCTCTATTGCAAACCGATTGCACCGCAGCTCCTCTGTTTTACTTAATTTCAGTTGATCATTTATAATTTTTTATTATATAATAACGCATAGAAATAACTACTATATTAGTGAGCTCTTGCTGGTGGGTTGGTATTAACCTTTAATAGTCTGGTCTCAGGCATAGCCTATATATCTCAGGCAGCTTGTTACTCTCTGGCAGGGACACAGCAATATCTATTGTAAATTACTATATTACAACGTATAAGCTTGGTTATAACTAACAGTAACTTTCATGTGTCTATCTTAATCCAGTCTCCGTGCATATGCTTTATAGACTGAAGATGCTAATTTAATAACTGCTGCTACCAGACTAGTTTTGCTGTTTGATTTTTGCATGTTTTCTTAACCATACCTATATAACTTTAAAAAAGGGCACTGTACACTCATTACTTGTAACATTATTGTGTTTCAGCCATATTGTATCGCAATGTCTTGAAACTGCTGTATGAAGCTTATGCCCACAGGAGCGTTATATATGCCCCTAACTACTCCATTAAGCTAAATTTGTATGTATGCTTAGAGTGTCCCTTTAAAGTCTAATTTTCAAGCTTCAAATCATGGAGACATATTTAGCATTTTTTTTAAATTTAATTTAAAATACTTACCTGGTGGAGTAAAGTGTTGCATTTCTGCTGTAGTGTCAACATTCAAATAAAGATCTAACTCCTTCTGATGACTTTCTGCAGTTTTCTAAATTACAAAATAAACAAAACATGCATTACATAACTGAACATATTGTACATGGTAAACATCAATATAAGAGTGTCTGAATACGGTAAAAGTGTGATGGCCTAAAACCAACCCCCCCAGTTGTTACGGTGGGTAAAGCATAACGTAAACTATAGTTGTACTACGGTTTGGGGGCTACATCTTGGCTATCTGAAAAGTCAGCTGACCTCTGATAGAGCAAAATGGAGCATGTGGAAAATATGTCAAAGAAACAGATATAATCAATGTATTAGAAAGTACAAAACTATGACTCCAATGGTGTGACACCCAATCAGATCCAGAGGCAGTGAATCCTACAGAGCTAATGAGCTTTCAAGCAGTAGCAGCACCTGGAACAAACCAATAAGATTAATGCAGCTATGTTTAGCTTTAAAACTGGCACAGCATCATGGACGATGTACAGATTCAGCGACTGGGGATCTACCTTTGCTCACCTGTGAGCTAAAAGAAGGTGTCTGTCATTTCATTAACCAGGCTGTTTCACAGAGTGGACGAATTTTTGCACATTTAAAAACATTGAGTCTAGGTTATTATCAAATACATGCTGGAGAATACATACCAGCTGTTCTGTCAGTTTTACTACTTGTTTCTGTAGTTTCTGGCATTCTTTGAATTTCTCTTTATAATTTTCTTCTCTCATTTGCAGCCTTCGCTTTAGGTCCTCCACCTCCTTCCGCAGTTCTTGCTCCACAATAGCATTTTCTGCATCCTAATAAGAGCAAACATAACAAAAGTACTTTATACAGGAATTGATGCATTCTTGTCCTTTGAATTCCAGAGAATCAAAACCGACCTTTTAATTAGTCATGGATACATTTAGTTTAGCAACCTGCTGATTATTTCAGCCATCTCCTGTAGGATATACAGGCTTGAAAGATACAGAACCAAACACTAAATTCAAATTATTCATTCAATCAGGTCAATGTTAGTTGATCTTTAAACAAAAAACACCTGTTAAGTTAAATTAAAGAATAAAATATATGCAAATTCTGACTGCATGAGGGACCTTCACTGCAGCTCCGCTCAGCTCCTGGGAAGTCATCGTTACTGTTGATCTCCTTATTAATCCATTGCATGGACACAGGGAACACGTGCGGCAATTGCAATGATTCTCATACAGCGTTTAATTTTTGTAAAAGCCTGTCACTATGGGGACTAGACACAGAGCACTGCAAACTTTAGGCCAAGTTAGTTGACTTGGAAAATATTTTAGTTTGGGTATTTTGTCTTACAAATGCACAGTTTCTATGTAAATTCTTTTCAATTCCTAGTTTAATGCCTCAGTGTGTTCTGTTAGTGTTCCAGGTTTAATGTGTTCACACTGTGTAAACTCAATGTTTGCTTCTGTATGAACCAAACCTTAGCAGACATGTTACAGATTATGAAGTTCTGGATTAATTCCCAATGAAAATGTATCAAGTGAAGATGAGTTTACCATTTTCATTTGAACCTTTATCGCAGGGGTTACGGTGGATTTTGGAAGTTGCACGTCTCGCGCACTGACTTGAGACAAAATGTCTGCCAGCTGTTTCTTCACACACTCTGTCTCAAGGCGAGCAGTATGCAGGTCAGCCATGGTTCTATCACGAATATTCACCGCATCGCTTAGTTCCTTAGACATTAAGGAAGCTGATTGCCTGCTAGACTGGTGGTCATCCTCCAACTTGCGTAGCTGTTGCTTTAAAATAAATACATTATCCTAAAGAAAATTAAAAAGCAAAACATTAATAAATAAATCTACACTTGTACGTTAATAAAATACAATTGGATAAGGTTATTTAAAAGTAATGCTGTGGTAGTTTTATCACTTCTTCTACCTATTCTTTCGTTTAGAAAGCTGCATAGAGAATTAGAACACGGTTGTATGATGCCTGTGTATAAATACAGATCAGTTCTGGGACACATAACTGAACAGACAGAAGGAAATACAGGGACGTAAGGTCAATGAGATACTGGGGTTGTATTAAAGTAACACTATAGTCACCTAAACAACTTTAGCTTAATAAAGCAGTTAACAGATAAGGTTATGGAGACAAGACTAGGAGGGACAACAATAAGCAAATCTTTAAGGAGCAGTTGAATTCAGATAGGCAGACAAATGTGAGGCTAACCAAAAATGGGGTAAAATCATATTTTTCTCTCTTTTGACTCTTTCAAGGAATACTGACATCAACTTTTGCAGAAACTGAAAGGGACACACAGATATAAATAGTTCTTATACAAATATTAAATATGCAAAAAACAAAACTTGCAATGTCAATGTCACATGGGCCTTTACCAACTAAATCCACACTGAAAACACCATGCAAGTCACATATACAAAGCACCTTTAGCATGGCATTTCATATGTTGAACAGATCAACAATAAACAATTTTGCTGGTCAATGAAAGCCAAACTTTACTCTTTTATTACTTGTTTAAATGTTACTCATTGATTTATAGATTTGTAATAATTAATATGACGGGTGCTAAAAGCACTTCACCTGGTGGCTTACATAGAGTCTTTTAGTGGGGATTTTGAACATGGGATTGCGACATAAGGACAACTGAATTGGCCTCCGTATTTTATGTCTGATGTTATAATGTAATATCTGAGAAAGAATAATTACATAACTTCGTAAAATGTTATTATGCCCCAAAAATTATGCCTCAGAAATAGACTGTACTACTGTTAAGGTCATGAGGCTTTGGAAAACTACAGATCAAGTTTAGTAGCACTTGGGACCAGGATGACATTTGACCCATTTAAAGGTGGCACCAAGGTTCAAAATGTCCACTCATCACTAGACATTGGTGAGTGAATATTGTTTGATGGAGTCCTTGCTGAGCTTTTCCCTGTTAAAAGAATCTGGCTATTACAATATTTGTAGAAATGGAATTCGGTTAACATCTTCCAATGGTTAGTTTCATAAATATTATGAACATTACTAATGCTTTACAATAAAAAAACAAAGGGTATTTTACTTTGTCTGCAGAATGCTGCAGAAGCTCTGTTTGAAGCTTTTCCTTCTCCGCCAGACAGAGCTTCATCTTGCCAAGCTCTTCCTTGTAGTGTGAAATTAAGTTATCTTTGCTTGTGTCTAAGTTCTTTAATGTCTGTACTTCTGTAAGTAGCTTGGTGTTTTCTATCTCGGTATTCTTCAAGTGAACCTGTGAACAAAACAATTTGAAATGATATTAAAGGGTAACAGATGGATTTGACATTACATTATTCAACCAATCAGTCACCGGATTCCTAAGATGCTTCGTATGGTTTGGCAGTACTGTTAAAGGTAATAAATAATGCATCTGTATGAAGTCCTATGACACACACGCTCGCACACATACACGCACTGGAAGCGGGGAAAAAGAAACATTGTACAAGGGGAGAATTTATACATACAACAGAGACTGACAAGGAACTAATGCCTTAATTTAATATTTTTTGAAAAAGCTTTTCAGGATTTAATATTTAGAAAAATATATATTTTAATATTTTCATATATATATGTATATATATATATATATATATATATATATATTCATTTTATTTTTAATATAGGATTTTTTATATATATATTAATATTTTAAAAAATAATTTAAAAAGCCTATCAAAACAAGCTTAAGATAGAAGCACTGTGTATCCAGGACAGAAGTAAATTTGACAATGTTGATTTGTACATTTAATTTTATTGCAGACGTCATACACATGTTAAAGGGACACAAAAGGCACTCAGACCACTTTAGCTACTTGAAGTTGTCTGGGTGCACTGTCCCTTTTGCACTTTTGCTCTAAGTCTGCCTTCAGAGGTTGTCTACCAGACAGCCACTATAGGGGCTTCCTGGATCAATACAGACCTTTGGTACCTGACACTGGACGTCCTCATGCTATGCGTCAGATTTTTCCCCATAGGAAAGCATTGATTCAATGCTTTCCCAAGGGGGAGGTCTAAAGCAATTGCCGCGCATGCGAATTAGCGTCTGTTCGTCGCAGAACGTCAGAGGGGACGAGAGGCAGGGGTGTGCCAGGGGGTGCGATAGTGCCAGGAATACAGCTTTGTATTCCTGGGAAGAAGGACAGAGACGATAAGACAAAGGGTACACTCCCATGCGCTAAACCCTAAGGGTGGTAGTGCCTGGTGCAACCTGAACTCTTAGGTACCGCAAAGAGACTCCAGGGGTCTCAAGGAGCTTAACCCCAGTTCCTAGAGTATACAAAAGACAAAGAGAACCGATGCTGTTGTACTCAGTGCGAATAAGGCATCTCCTGGATTTAAACATAGTAATGTAGGGATAATAATAATAATGGTATGCTGGCTAGTAAACAAACATAGAATAAATAATAATGAGACCAAATATAAAGTATATACAAGTGATAAAAATACTACTATGCATCAAGAGATGAAGGACAGGGTAGGGGTATGTATATATATATATATATATATATATATATATATATATATATATGTATGTATGATGCTCAATCCTAAAATAAAGCTTTATTAGAAAAAATGGCTAGAAATGGAAAGGGTAAATCCCAATATTGTCCCCTAACCCTGGTATGTCTCCAAAACTACTCTCAGTAAAACTGTACCCTAAATAGTTTAGCCCAGGCTCTGTGCTTCAAATTGATTAGTACCCTAATCATAATCCCAACTGTCTAACCTGAATTGGCATAGATAGGTAGAGAGTATAAACCCAGCTGTAGAGGAGAGATATTGGCAGTAGAAAGATATAGAGAGTGGGCAGTATAGAATCAAAGGGTCAGTTTAAAATAAACTGACAATACAAATTATAAAAGCCTCACCCCCTGTTAAACTGACTAGACAGGAATAGCAGTAGAGAATAACAAAGTGAAAATCAAAAGGTAATACAAATCATATTAAAATAAAAAATGCTAAATCCACAAGTGCCCAGTGCCCATAGCCTAAATGAACAGAATGCCCAACGCGCGTTTCGGTGCCTTTTGTGATGCACGTTCGTGCACTATCACTTGTATATACTTTATTTTTGGTCTCATTATTATTTATTCTATTTTTGTATTCCTGGCACTACAGTATCCTTTTAAATATAGGAGATAGGCATAATATTACAAATTCTGGGAAATGATGGTGCTCTTTGAAGGGAAACTATGGTTCCGAAAATAAGAATTGCTTTACATTCCAGGATTTTAAAAAAAAAAAATGGAGCACAGCACCCTGTCCATTTCACTGAGATGAAGTGGTCTGGGTGACAATAGTGTTCTTTTACAGTTTTTAATTTTCCAGTGTGTGTAAATATTGTACAGTTGTATTAGAGACGGGACTTCAAGTAATGAATTATTTGTCAACACCGCAGTTTTCAATTTCAGTTCCTATTTGGAAATTTCACTGACACAGTTAACATATAAGAACTGAAATTTTAGTCGGTCTACCTTACCAATGCAAGCTGAAATTGTGCTTTGTAGTTCATGAGTGCTCTTTCTTTCTTTAAATGAATACTCCAAGTACCATAACCACTACTGCAAGCTTTAGCACTTACTGTACCTGGTAACACCCCCTCATTGTAAAGAGTCAAATAGTTTTAGAACGCTATGACTTTTTACGTGAGGACCGCAGTGCAATGCTCACCTTCTGCATTACTTCATATGGATAAATGGAAGCGTAAGCATTGCGGTGAAGGGCTTAACTCACTGGCTGAGAGGGATTAGCGAACGCTCTCAGCCAATGAGCTGGCCCTGCATTAGGAATTTCCATCTCTCCATTAGATGTAGTAGAGATGAGGAGTGGCACGTGTCGGACCACAGGTAAGAAGTAAACAGTTCTAAAAGAGTGAAGCGGGACAGAAAGGTCTCCAGTAATTTTAGCAATTTATGAAATATAACTGAAGTCAGGTTTGTTTAAAATAACTGTTCTATATTCCAGAATGGTGTTGCCACACACTACCGGAATGCAAGAGTTAAAAAAATATAGCTATTTCACAGCCCTGCTCCCTCTAGATTAATGTATACAGGACAGTGTCACACGGACAAGACCCAATAACAGGTGTCTGATTTCACTATGCTTTTATTTAAAAGTTATGTTTAAAATAGAAGAACATTGATAATGATATCTACGTATGTGTGCGCAGGAAATACGAAAAGTAAAAATAAGGTGTGCTATTTTGCATTCACTCGATGTTGCGGAAACAGTATAACAGAGTTTAAGTGTGATTGGATTTGTAAATGGGTAACATGGGCTTTCTGTAAAATGGAAGTTCTATACATGCCATGGGGGATCTAAGCATGTGATTGAAGTTTTATTTTACTTTGACTTATTTTTATTTACTTTAAGCAAATATGTGTGTATGACAACGTGTAATAAAACACCTGAAAAAAAAAAAATAGTGGTGATTCAATCACCTAGGTGGGCCACAATAACCACTAAAAAGATAGCAATAAACAAGAAAATAAACAATAGTGAGAGGACACAAAAAGATAGATAAATATTACCTAAATTGACAGTCATATAATTCTCTGAAATTAAACAAAGAAGAAAGACATATGGTAATAAAGTTTAAACTCAAATATTACAATCTATGTGTTGGTCCCACTCACATAAAGAGAGCCACTTAATAAGATGGCTCAAACTGCATGCCTTGAACAAAGTAGACTTCAGCTGGGCACTCCACCTTAGTATCCTGTATAAGGTACCTCCAGGACGCAGAATCAGGGGGTTACAAACGTTATTTTCCAAAATACAGGAAACAAATAAAAACAGGAATATTGTAAAAGAAGTCCCATAAAGTTGAAGTCCACAGCACCTGACGCGTTTCGGCAATTAGCCTTCGTCAGAGGTGATTATTATAAATATTGGCATTCTATTCACCTCTGTTATAAATAGTAACACTGCAGAGTTCTTCACATTTTGTGCATTTTTTTCAGCAAAAAACCCCAAGGTGAGATGCCTGTAAAGTCTCCTGAAACTTGAACGCAACATGTTCATGATGTGTGGAATTGCAGATTTAAACGAATAAAATTGATTCATTAGTCAAGTGTCTGGCAGAATTTGATTTCCTTTTCCATTTTTTTGGTTCAGAGTACACTACGCCATTTAAAACAAACAAAAACATAAAAGCAAGCTGACATCATCCACAGCACACAGTCTCTATAGTTAAATGCTTCCATATGTTATCCAAGCTCTATGTGAAGAGCCTTGTTTCTATTGTTAATATAAACCTTTCACCCTTTAATTTTAGGTCATGACCAATTGTTTTATAAGTCTCTATAGTAGAAAATCACTGTGTGTTCATCACTCTGAACAGTCTGTGGATTTATTCTTTACAGCTAGAAAAACTAAAGTCTAAGCATTAGACTGACTATATGGTGAACAATCATTATCTTAACCCCTTAATGACACATGGCCGTTAATGTCATCATAACAGTCCGGTCTTTAAGCAGACTATAGCAAAGTGGGATGTCTTACTAAATTAACAACTGCACGGCTGTACCAAACAAGCTGGACATTCCATGCCGGCACTGGGTCTTTAAGGGCCTGACTGCTAAATACTATATTTGGTCCTTGAGGGATTAATTATGTAATTAAATTGTATACATAGCTGTTAAATTCTGGCTTTCTAGCCCCAACACATCAAACAGTCAGAGGCAGGGGTGGACTGAGCACTCGGGCAAATCGGTCATGGACCGAGGGCCAGATGCTCTGGGGGGCCCGCCCCTGCTGCAGTGCAGTAATGGCTGAGCTGGGGAGTTAATCTCCCCAGCTAGCCTGCACTCAGTAAGTGCAGGCCACTGCTGCTAAAAATCTGCTCTCCTTTGCTGGGCACACTGAGGGACAGCTAAAGGGCATTCCCAAAAGCCTCCACTAGGTTGCCCCTCAGTGTGCCTGTCTGTGTGGCTGAAGGAAATTGGCAGAGGCTCCAGGAGCAGAGCCTCTGCCAGCAGATCAGCACAGCCACACGGAGCTAGCTGCCTGTAACACTGATCAGGGCAGCTCCGTGTGGCTGGCTCTGCAGGAAGTAACATCATGCAGGCGGAGCTGACCTGATCTGTGTTACAAGCAGCATGTGCAGCATCCACTCCAAAGATAAGAATTCCCTCTTCCCTGGCCAAAAGTAAGACTCGGGTGGGGGTCAGTGCTGCCCATTGTGAACGCTCCTCATCATTGATTCAATGCAGGATGTCATTTTGCCACGCATGTGCAATAGCCTTCCAGTGCTTTCTTATAGCAAAGCATAGGATTGGCTGAGATCATCTAATTTTATGATCTCAGCCAAGGAGGCAGAGTGGGGAGGGGTCAGCTATGAGGAGACCCAGGCGGTGCTGAAAAAAAGGTAAGTATTTCACCTTTTTAACAGGGCGAGTAAGGGGGGCCGGGGACCTAAACGACTATTTTAAACCTATAGTGTTTGTATTACTGACACTATAGTGTTCTTTTAAGGTGGCTTGTAGTTTTCTTTTTTTTTTTTTTCAATTCTTTATTTTTGGTGCAGTAAAGATTACAAACAATCCTGTGGTGCCACGACAGCAGACACAGGCAAGATAATGTATACAATGTCATGGCGATAAACAGTTGGACATTTTTTAAATTATAAGACAGGTTGTATGCGTGATTAAATTCGTTGCGAGTAGATTAGTTATGTCGGCAATTGTGAGATTCATTAAGAATAACTGGAACACAGAGTGTAATCTTTGCCGTTAAACATGTGCTTCTATGTGAAGGCATAGGTATGATGCATGCTTGTAAATTGCGTGTGTAAAGAAGACGAGTTATACATGAGTGCCAGGCAGCCGAGCTCAGCTTCAATAAATGGTTAACTGACAGGCTATGTGATAGCATGAATGGTGTGTGCAGTACAGCATTATACAGGTATGTAAGGCGTATTGTGAGATTGCTAGCTAGATAAGAGTGGTCAAACAGTGAACATTTCTTTACAATTCTGCGTTGGTAATGAGTCTCTGTTTAGGAGGCTGCAATATGGCATATCTAGCGTCTATTGTAGTAGAGGCTACACGTGTGTACCTCTGTGGTTCTTGCCGTGTGGATCCACTTTTAGCCTATACCTAGCACAGGGAAAGATATTGGAGGTGCGTGAGAGTCCCGCTGGGGCACAGCAAGGTGCAGCGTCGCTGATTCCTGCGGCTGGCACGTCCGCCCGTCGTAGTAGGGGCCTGTTCTGGTGAGGTAGGTGAGTGGTGTTCCCATCTGATATCCTGGGGCCCTCTGTGGTTTCGTATGGCTTCTGAGCCGTGTGGGGAGCATGCCAGTCGCTGTGACTGCCGGCGCTGCAGGGGTTAAAGGTCTCAGTTGCTCGTCCCACCGGGTCTTTCCGGAGTGCATAAATTTTCACTGCTCCGGTCGGTCTCGCATCCGCGAGCGGGAGCTTGAGAGATAGTGTGCTCAGCCTTTGGAGGGGGTTTCTGCAGCTGAGTTCGTGGACCGTGTCTCAGGGTCTTTCCCCTCCGGATCTTCTGCCTTGGGTGCTTGGAGTGGGCTTTGGGCCATTTAGGGCGTGGGCGGGTGCCTGGTGAGTTGGTCGACCGCCACCCCTGTTGCACGGTGCCGGGGACCCTGGGCTTGCATCGCCGCTTGTCTGCCGGTGGGACATGAGGGTAAGGAGGTGTATTCTCTCTCCCCTGCTCCCTGTGAGACTGTGCCCCTCTGTCCTGTAGCATCCGCCAGAAATTGTTGAACAATGTATCTAGCCGTTCTTCTAGTGTTGCTTGCGGGCCTCGTGTCGCCTTCGTAGGTGCTTCCGCTGCCATCTTAAGTTCAGTGGTGGAGCTGGGCGTCTGCCTCGGAATGGCTGGGTTATGCGGTGCTTCAGCTTGCCAGCGGTTAGTTGCTGGAGCCGGGATATCCCTCACCGGCAGGGGGGTGGGGGGGAGAGGAAGGCTCGTGGGTGGTCCTCCGCAGTGATAGAGTCTGCCTCCCTGGTGCTCCAGGCTGGGTGATCGGCCGCCTCACCCGCGCCCTCGCCTCCAATTAGGTCGCAAAACAGGCTGGTTGTCGCTGCAGTAGGCCCCGGTGATGCAGCCCACGTTCCCGTTAGCTCAGCGTTTTGTGAGTAGGGTCGGTGCAATCTCCCTTGCATCCCCAACGTGGGTGGTGCAATTTTGGGGGATTTGGTTGCTTAAGAGTTGGGTTAATTTCGACTGAATTAAGGATTTAGACGGGAGCTCATGCTGCACGCGTCTGAACAGTTCCACACCCAGGCTCCGCCCCCGGCTTGTAGTTTGTAACACCTGGTTTGCAATTCAAGACGCAATATTTGGTGGCTTGCATACCTCATACAAACACACTGCCACAATTCACACACACACACACTTATTCATACTGCCATGCTAAACAAACACATATATAAAAACTACCCTATTTTTAAAAAAACATGTATTTAAATATACTCTGAATCCACATATCCTGACACTACACAGACATATATACACCAGGCACTTACTCTAGGGTTCACAGTAAAGATACACACAGAAACATACATTCAATTTACATACACATACAATCAAATACATGGTACATCTACACCAGCATATATATATAGGTCTGCAGGGGGCCCGGGTCCTAATTTTGCCAGAGGGCCCAGGCCACTGTCAGTCCGTCCCTGGTCAGAGACCCTTCCTCCTACCCTCTGCTAACTGCGGAATGAGGTTTAAAACAAACTATGAAAAAGAGGCCAACTGAGAAGACATACATGTTCCATAAATGGAATGTACAAAAAACTTTATTTTATGCCCTTTTCATCATTAGCAATATTCTAAAAAAAAAAAACCTGACCTGTCAAATCCGATATGAAAAAAAAAAAGTTCAGATAAATCAATCTACAATTCTATTACAAATAAATAATACTGCAGACACATAAAGGACTTTAGTTTAGTGCTTCAGGTGCCTGAAGTCTGTCATATTTGTGACAATTTATAAAAAAGTGTTGATTTCAATAGAAACTGAAACACCACCCACAGAGCTAACAGAAGCAGCAAGCATATTGAGATAGCATGCACCTGCCTTCTGGCCTTCTTAGTGTGCTGTATTACAACTCATTGTGAAGCACAGGAAAGCAGCAAATGCATGCGCATGATCACGGCTCCAGCACGGAGGCTTCTTAGTGACTGGTGTATCAACAAACAAAGTCTGCAGGCAGCAGGTCTGCAGCTTTGCAAGCTTTTTTTTGTTTGTTTGTTTTTTTTTTCATATACCCCTAAAAAAAAATTTTTTTTAAATTCATTTTTTTCTTTTGGGGTATGTGAAGCAAATTGTTTTAAAAAAAAAGCAACAGAATTTTCAGTGGCAGGTTTCTTTAAACCAGTCTGCCTTTATGTAGAACTCATAGCTTGGGTTGGAATTTCACTGAAAGTTCAACACAAAATATACATAAGACAAAGCATAGAATACTCTCTCATTTATGTTCAGAATTTTAGCAAAACATAGCAAAATGCAGATTTCTAGCAAGTTGGCTTCATTGCCATATCACAGCTGTCACTTGTGATGGCTGCAGTAGTAAAGGCATGTTGCACAATAACTATGGCATCTTACTGTGACTGTTCCTTGTGAGAGTATACAAATGATGCAGGTCTTGGTGGTTTCATCTGCCAGGAAAGAAAGATGGAGGTTCAGCACGGGATGGTGGCGTCAAAGAGAGAGAGAAAGCTACAGGTAATGTAGCTCTCTCTCTGTTCCCTTTCACCATCTCTTTAGAAGCAGACATGTCACTTGTGTGGTGTTTGCAGAAAATGTGACAGATGACTAGGAACTTTAAACAATTCACTGTAGTACCAAGGAGAGTGGCGTCAACATGTATTTTATTTATAGGATTCCTATGTATGGCGTTGAGAGTCAAATTAAATATCTATTCTGTTAAAATACATTCACACTTCTACTAGAATCTCAAATAGGCAAGTCTTATAAAATTGCACTTGTCATACATTGCACAGGTCAGGATTCATTTTCTAACAGAAACATTTTAATGTGGAGTGGATAAACTCATTTATATTTTGCAATTCTGGGACTTCAGACTAGATATTATTTCCCCATGCTCTATAAGAATACAGTAAACTGTATGGTTCAGTCAGTGGGCAGTAAAAGTTATGCACGCAGGGTCACTTTATTAGAACAACACAGAAACAACAGATAGTTGTGCAGCCACAGAGGACTTAAAATTAAAGGAATACTGTCATGAATTTTTATTATTTAAAATAAAGTACTGCTTTTCTAACCAAAGATCATGCAGTTAATCAAGAAGTGTATTCACATGTCATGTGCAAGTGATGGGCATCTCTAAAATGTGCTTTGAACTAGGTTCAGCCATTCATATTGTTCATGGCTTTAGCAGATAAGTAGTGCTTACAACCAAAGGGAACTTAAAGATGACCACCCAAAAAAGCAAGGGATACACATTCAGATACTAATACACTTAGTTGTTTATTTGCAATGATAATAAATATTGATGAGAGTTTTCCTATAAGACAATGAACCACAGTACGGCTGAGCTGATCAGCTCTTAATCACTTTAAAGTGAAACTATAGGCACCAAAACACTAGAGGCACCAAAACAACTTTATCTTAATTGAGCAGTTTTGTTGTATAGATCATGCCCATGCAGTCTCACTGCTGAATTCTCTGCTATTTAGGAGTGAAATCACTTTGTTTAAACTGCCCTAGTCACACCTTCTCTGCATGTGACTTACACAGCCTTCCTAAAAAATTCCTGTAAAGAGAGATCTAATGTTTATACTTCTTTTATTGCACAGTCTCTTTAATTTACCATGTATTTTCTCCTGGTCTGTCAATACCGTTCTAGAGCCAGCAGGAGCCTCCTGTGTGTGGTTAAGTAAATTTGCAGAGGAGACAAAAACTTCTAAAAGTAAACATCTGATTAAAAATTTAATTTTATCATGCAGTCACAGCCAGGGTAGGTGTGGCTAGGGATGCATAACAAACAAATGGGATTTAACTCCTAAAAGGCAGTGCAGAGGCATGTATACCCCCAAACTGCTTTATTAAAAGAACACAGTGTTAGGAATACAAAGATGTAACTCCCTGCCCCCTAAAATGGTTTTTAAAACAAAACAAAAAACTTTTAGCAACTTAACTGGTTCAAGCTCCAATGTCCCTCTGTACTGGGTTGCACTCTTCCTTCACCAAGGTCAGTCAATGGTGGGACCTAATGTGCGGTGAGAGCTTCACACACATTTACCATTCCCTATAGGAAAGCACTGACTAAATGCTCTCCTACGGGGTTTTGCTTGATGCTCAATGTCCTCATGCAAAGCGTGAGGACATCCAGCATTGTTTCACAGAGTCAAACTCCATAAGACTACAGGAAGGGCCCCAAGTGGCTGTCTGGTGACAGTCACTAAAGGCAGTTAGTACTGCAATGTAAACATTTAGTTTCTCTAAAAGTGCAATGTTTTACATTTCAGGTCTAAGAGGAACAGGGGCACTGCACCCAGACCACTTTAATGAGATGAAGTGGACTGGGTGCTAATAGTGTCCCTTTAAGCTAAAGTTGTTTTGATGCCTATAGTGTCCCTATAATGAAGAAGCACTGAACTACAGCATGCGTCTCCCATTGAAGACAGTTATGTTCTAATTGTTGCATATGTCACTAGAGCATAGGGATCCACACTTGCATCATTTGTTAATGCATTATAGTAAAACAAAAAAAATCCAACTTAGTGTGTCCCTTTAAAAACATTAATATGCTCCACAACTGAAGAAATGTAAAGATCTTCAAATGTTTACCTTGTATAGTTCTTTTTCATCCTTCTCATTTTTCAGCTGACATTCCAGATGTTCTTTGTCTAGTGTCACTTTTCTCAGCTTATCTCTTATACTAAAATATGAGAAACAAAGTATAAAACAAGAACATTATTTAAAACGCAAAATCAGACATTGCACAGAACACTTTCACAATCAAACATATTTATTTTTAAAAGGTTTCAAAATAAGGGTTATTTTTTTTTTTTTTTAAATGGAATTGAGTTATTTTGGTGGCCCTAGCTAAATGTTTTTTTATAAGTATGCATATCTATTTAGTATATGCTTGGATATTCATTTTCTGCATAACATTAGCTTGGTAACCCTCTTTTATATTTTGATATAACAAACACTAAAACAAATTGCAGCAGCCCTAGATCAGGGTCAGATGGTAGACATGCCACACCAAGAAATACTGAAATGGCCCAAGAGCACTAGTTTGGAGAGAACCTCCTATTCCATATTCCAATACACTTAGACATCCCCTGGTGGAGTTCTATGCAGGAGCCAGGTAATGGATGAGAATTCTCAGACTATCCTTGGCTGCCTGCTGCTCTCAATGGGAGAGCTGTGTATAGCCCACCAATCTCTGCTCAGCAGGTTTTAGAGACTACATAGTCCTGCAGTAAGCTGTAGTTTCATGCAAGAAAGCATATGAATGAAAGTACTGCACAATTTAATAGCAGGCATAGTGGTGTTACCTACTGATTAGTTTCATTAACGTTTTCTTTAATTAATACAACTAGTTACAATACCAGCTAGAAGAAGGTGGAGGGGCTAATATGGCATGCATATGTCATATGAATATTTGTATAGATAGCAGAAGCACATCTCTTGCCTGTGTCAGTAAGGGGGTGGACAGAAATGGCTGCAACTAAAAAGGGACAGGGGAGCACATTGCACCATAAGCAGAGATTTGAAGGTGCTTGAAGAGTCCCTGTAAGGAATACATCATAAAGAATTGTGTTTTGTATTTTTTTTGGCAGACATTTTTTACTCCCTGTTAACAAAGAACAGAATTCTATATAATTCAATACATTATTGCGAGTTTACCAGACTGCCAGTTGGCAATCCAAATTGCAAATGCATAGTTGTACAATTGAAAGAGAAACGCTTGTCGTCGTGGATATCTAAAAATATATGGCCATGATTTAATATTTTGGGATAATCACAATCTGTTAGAAAAACTTTACAAATGGTTTATCTACAGAAGTCACCATTAAAATCTATGGGAATAGTTGAAGACGAATCATTCTATTTGTTTATTTGCCAGATTAGGATCATTTGAAAAGCTGATGAAAAAATATGAAATCAATGTTTATACTTTGTTCACCTGGCAACAGAGTGATTTGTACGTTTTCTTTTTCTAAATGTACTGTTTTGCTATTGAGGAAAAATAGCGGGAGCGGGACAGTTTACAATACATATATAACGTAATACCTTTCCAGTTCGGTTTCCTTTGCAATGGTCTTCTGAGTCACAATCATGATGTCATCTTCCATTTGGTGAATTCTAGAAGTCATTGCCTCACATTTTTTCTTAAGTTCTTCTGTTTCAGCTTTGACACCTTCAGATGTTTTATTTATTTCCTAAGAAACACAAAATTGTATGACAGATAGAATAAAAATGCATGTATGTATTAATCTCATAGTTGTACACATAACTATTTCCAAAAACCATATATCACTATATCACAGAGTGCCACACATTTATATACTGTATATACATATAAGCACTGTGTCAAACCCAAGTCCAGTGCACAACCTAAGAAAATTCTGGACTGGGAGCCAGAGAATTATTTTTATTAATTTTTTTCTTTACCACTCAATACATATATTCCCTAGATTAATAACAGAACCTCAACCAAAATTCACCTAGCAGAAAAAAGGCAACAAATCTAATAGGATGAAGGACTGCCTGAAGAGACATTGCACATCCCAGAATATATGAAATGCATTATACAGATTTCACCCATTTAAAGATATTTCATGTCGTAATCACACTCTGGTCCAAAAGGTCTTATACCAGTATGGACTGTTTAATTACCATTTGCAAATCTATACAGTCTAGACATCATTCAAATAGTGGGACTCTCCATTCTGTTATAATGTCAAAGGCTATGATGCGAATTAATGGCGTCCAGTAAAAAGAATGTTTCATAATATTAAAATGATCCTGAAATGTAATTCCTCAATCCTAATCCTGGTATGCATTCGTACAATTTTGTAATACATTCTTATATTTTGCAGTCATATAAAAGCGTCTTCCTCTATTAACAGTGTTGGTGGGATGATGTGCTAGGTAAATCTATGTTATGTTGAAGGGGTAGATTTTAAACTGAATGAAAAACATTGTTGACTTAACATACATAAAGTAACTGTAATTACAAAAATGCTAGGATTTTGAGCATCAAAATTGATATACAGTACTGGAAACATAAATCTAAAATCCATATCATCCTGTACATGATTTCATTTTGTAATATCCCTTTGGAAATCAATTTTCTGTGAAATGTAATGGTTTAACACTGTAAATGATACACTGTCTCTATCGTAATAAACTTTAAATAAAGATCTCACACACTAGATTTGTCCAGCTACCATAAACAACTGGTTAAATCTAGTTTGTGTTGGTTTCAACAATTATATCTTGCCTGTTTGCCTGCACATACGCATTGCCCTCTAAAAACCCCAAATAAAACACTCTACACATTAAGTATGAAGAGGAAGATGTATTTAACTCGTGCAGAAGGGAAAGCAAAACCATTGCAGCTTCTTCAAGTACCCATCAGACAGGTATGATGATAAACACTGTGTGCCCAGTAAAAGCAGCCAAACAGTCCATATAAAAAATAATGTTATATGATCAAGAGCGAGTGCACATCATGCTAAGATGGTGACAGCTCCACTGCACATAAGCACTGCAGAGCTCCTGTGCCTCTTCCGGACACAGCAACACAACCAAAAACCCTCCATAGTGTGAATATAGCATGAGTGAATACTCAGCTTTCTTTTACAAACTATTTAAATCCATTAATCCATTCAACAATTTTCCTTCTTCATTCTTCTACAAGTTTTATATAAAACCAGAGTTCAGTATTTTTTCTGGAAACTCAGTAATTTGATAGCGCATGTACAGTGCAAGCCCTGCTTCTATGAGCATGGACAAAAATACAGATAAACACCAAAAAAAAATGTATTACAAAAAATAACCAAGAAACGAAAAAAGCAAAAACATAAGGTGGTATAGCCAGAAGCACAATTATCACCATCTACTGCAGTATATTTATTGCACAAAAACTAGATTATTGAACGCAAACCGCTGTTTAAAACAGTGTCTATTCTGGGAACCAAAGGTCCGTGTGAACAATCCACATTAGCACTGAAAGCCCATCTGGCACTGAAAGGGTCAGACTAGTGTGCCGTTTTCCATACATGAAGAAATCGTACTGGACAGCATCCAAGTTAGCTACAAACTATTCAGCTACAATAAAATATAATGAGGGACTGTGTTTACTCATTAATTGTGAAAATCATGCTCTGAGCTACAGTAATTAAGAAAGGAACTTTTACAAGCATCCAGGGGTAGTATGCAGACATACCATGTAACAAGTCTTCTTTCCAAACATGAACTTACAATTTTCAGAACAAAAAAAAAAAACAAGGGCAAATACGACTATCAGACACACATTTTAACAACCAGACACCGTAATTACGGCCTAGACGAGAGTCCCATACTTTTAAAATGTTCGGCACCTATCGACACGAATACATAACGTCATTATTTTACTATAACGTAACATCAAACATTGAAAATGACTTGTGAGTGGAGCATCCCTGATCTTTAGTTGACATAATGACGCATTGATAGGTATTTATATATGAATAAGATCAGTTTATGTTAGTTAAATAAATGAGTATATAAAACAATTACTGAAGTTTTAAAGCCCCTTCTTTTTTAATAAACTTTTTCTGCCAGAAAACAGTAAAACAATCATTTATGGATGCAGACACACTTTATTTCGCTTTGACCACACTCACAGCTGTGGGTAGAGGAGACGGATCAGCAAGGGCTTCCAAACTACCAACCAACATTAAATGGAGCACTAAAACTGAGCCCTTTTTCTTTTACTATGCGATAACTTGCTGAATGAACTCTATAGAACATAGAGAGATTTTGCAAGATTCTATTTTCAGTCCAACCAAGTTGCAGGCAAATTCACGTCTCAGCTAGAAATGGTAATTTTGTATCTTTTTTTCCATTCAGTGCATTATATGCAGCTTCATAATTTAGCGACTATACCCAGAGGAAGCTTACCAAGTGTGGTATTTAGGTCATTGCTAGTCTGGAGCCAACAAGCCAACTCCCTTCGGAATGTCTTGAAATTTGTCTATATCTCTAAATTTCCCACTGGGCTAGCTCAGAATTGGTGATGCCGATAGTAAAACCATGTTCTTGAGAATCCATATGCTAATACAGGTTGTAGAGGCATTCTATGATGACCGATTACCATGGAACAATTCTTTAATGGCTATCTGCAGCGGCCAAGGTAACTCCCCAGATAGTGGTTGCTGAGAAAATAAAATTCAGTGGCACACTTGGGGGGAGGGAGCGGGATTTCAGATGACATTTTGACATTTGTTTTAAAGATTAAACAATTACATAATATCACAACACGATATCATTTTTTCTATATTTTGGCATCTTCAAAAACATTTGTAAGAGCATATTCATTGATATGGGAGAATATGAAATTATGACTATAAAAATAATATTAAAGGGACACCGTAGGCACTGTATCTGCTTCATCTCATTAAACTGGTTATAGTGTATGGAGTCCCCTGGTGCCATCATTTCTTTCGGCATTAAACAGTTTTTAATGTTGTAATGTTTTAATGCTAAACAAGAGACCACGGCAATCCATCTCCTCTGTGCTGCTTTGGCTAATAAGGAAGTATTACCCTGAGCAGCAATGGGCAGCTGTGATTGGCTGAGAGTGTCAGCTGACTGCTTTTAACCTGTCAGCGCTCCAACTGACGGTATGAATGGGTATGACAACAAGGAAGTGTGTAATCTCTGCCTTAGCTACACATACTGAAGGGGCCGGACTGTGGGCATACTGCACAAACATGGTGCAACACTGAATGGAGGGACAATGCCAGGACACTCCAGGCACTATAACCAATTCAAAGAGACAAAGTGGTTATAGTGACTACAGTGTCCCTTTAAGGGAATTCAGTCGGCTTTTCTTTTATAAAAATTGTCTAGCTCAACTATTTTAAATGCACTGCAATTTTCATCTACTAGCTTTTTTTTTCATTTCATTTTGCCACTAATAGCATATATATGCTTTCCTCACCACAATCGACAGACTAGCTACAAAAATATCTTAAACAATAAATATGCACTTAAAGGAACACTATAAGGTCAAAAACACAAACATGTATTCCTGACCCTATAGTGCTAGACCCACCATTTAGGTGGCTTGCCCCGCATTAGCCCCCATAAAGGCAATTAAAACTCCGGCGCTAGCTCTGCCCCCTTGGTGACATCATCAGAATTGCCATTTTGGCCAATTAGCACCTCCTCATAGAGAGGATCAATGCATCTCTATGAGGAAAATTTACCGTCTCCATGCAGAGTGTGGAGACGCTGAACGACACTGCTGCCTTCTGTGCAGCACTGAGCCAGGAAGCACCTCTAGTGGCCATCTGAGGAGTGGCCACTTGGAGGTTTCCCTAGGGGCAATGTAAACATTGCCTTTTCTCTGAAAAGACAGTGTTTGCATGAAAATGCTTGCATATAATGATTATACTTACCAGAACAACTACATTAAGCTGTAGTTGTTATGGTGACTATAGTGTCCCTTTAATGTTGTATATATTTATTATGACCCCATATGTACATTTTATATATCTTATACAGATTAACCAAATACAACTACTTTAACTGATCCAAATAACAAAACAAAAAAATACATTTAATATATCAATGTATGTTTCATTACAAATTGGATGTATGACGATTTAATATGTATCCCCATCTTCTTTTCTGTACCCAACTTACCTATGCCTCAATAAAAGAAAGATTTACAAAAACAAAAAAAAATACATTTAAAATGCCCTAACAGTGAGACTGGCAAACATGACATCCTTTCAGTCTGTCTGAGTCATAACTAAAGCAATTATAGTGAGATCTAGGATGTAAAAGTGCTGATGTGTCTATAAGTCAATTAACTATGGTAACCCAGCAACCCAATTCCTGCAACTATTCTATTCCTGGAGTATGTGTTGTGAGAAGCAGTATCTTACAGAATCAAAAATACATTGTTTGTTTTTAAGATACATTGCTTGTAAAAATGTATTTATTTGAAAACCTATCTTCCATCTGCTTTAAAAAAAAAAAAAGAAAAGAAAAACCTCAGAAAGTATATACAGTTAGCAGAGAAATGGGTTAATAGTAAAGGACAATTCTCACCTCAACACTACACTTTAATGATCCTTTTGTAAAGTTATTAAAGGAAATGGATTATATGTTAAATGAAGTATAAGTAAAAACATTTTGAAAAACTCATCCCTACAGTGTTTGGATTTGACAGTTAGTCCCTCTGATGACGTCATATAAAAAGGTACATACTAAGCTAAGGAATGGATTTTTGTCTTTTTTTTTTTTTTAACATATACTTAATTAAACACAGAATCTATTTCCTTTCAATACTTGATGAAAGGATCATTATATTAAAAAATAGTGTTGATGTGACAGTTGTCCTTTATGTAAAAATAAATAAATCTAGTGATAGGTGAATATTAAAAAGTGTAAAAAGTTAAGAGGTTTGTTTAAAGAAAACCCCAGCTTTTACAGGGGCTTGCCTACTACATGGCTACCATTTACAGACTCATCTCTTTTGGTGCATCCATAGCTTCCTTCTACTGTTGTACTCCCATGCATTGGAAGGTAATATACAGCACATGCACCAGTGAATCACAAACATGTGAGCATGCACCAATGAATCACAAATGCATGAGCATGCACCAATGATTCGTAAACACATGAGCATGCACCAATACTTCACAAGCACATGGACATGCACCAATAAATCACAAGCACATGGACATGCACCAATAAATCACAAACACATGAGCATGCACCAAAAAAAATCACAATAAATCACAATCAAATGGCAATGCACCAATGATTCACAAACACATGAGCATGCACCAGATTAAGTGTTTGCCTGTGAAATCTTCTTGACATGTGTGCAAGATCCAAATACATAGTGTGGGATCAATAACAATGCAAGCCATTAGCTTTCCATATGTTCTCTCCTTCCCCCCACACAATAGGGAGTTTGAGAATTTTACTTTTAATAGTTTAAAGTGCAAGGATTTTAAAGGGACACTCTAAGCAAGCTTGTTATAGTGGTTATCTTGCATATAGTGCACTCGTGCCAGCCCAATTTAAAGTCAAACTGTATTTCGCCATAAACATGGGGCTCTTCTCATCACTAACAGACCAACCACTCCTCAACTAAATTAATAATGCAGAGTTTACACTTTCATAATATCACGGTTACATTCAAACAACATGCATGCTACTGACTGGATGAGAGCATGGACTGACATGTCCCCAGCACTCACAGCAAATCACTGCTGTCCAAGTGGTTAAAAAAAAAAAAAAAAAAGTATTAAAAGCAATGATCACGTTTGAAGTTCGTATATCAGCTGCTAATCCCCAGGCTTTGCAGTAAGCTCTTACCAAATAAGTAAAAGACCCAACCATGCATGATGGTCACTTAGGTTCACGAGTAAAGTCCTTTCTGCATCACTGTAACCCTCACACTGTAACTAACACCGACCGGGTGATGGAGTATCCCTTTAGTCTTTTATTTTAGAGTTTACAATATTTGACCATTAGAGGGCAACATAAGCCTAGAAATAGCTATCTAAATGTAACTTCTCCCCCCCCCTCCCCCCAACCAATAAAATCTGATCTCCACTTCCAAGAAAGGCTTTTGCAAAATCTATGGATCTAAATAACCCAACAAGATTTAGCATGCAAATTCATTTGCTGAAATGAAGCAAGTAAAAAATGAAAAACATGAAAAAGTGCAACACACAAAACATCTCTGTATTCAAAGCACAAAGTGTAGGTATAATAATTCAAATACCTTTAGCAATGCTACCATTCCTTCCCAGCGGCTTAATAAAGACACGCCGTGTATCATTCAGAAGAACCATGTTGGTTACTTATATGCTTGGGTTAATATTAAAATTATATTATTCTTACCATATCACTTTCTGGTTTACATAATTTGTTGTCAATTGTTTATGTCCCAAATACAAAATTGTTGGCGACAAAAATGACAATAATGCAAAACAAAACATGGAAAACAAAACCTGCTAAAACATTAACCAGTTATGACTTTTGCATTTTCATAAGCAGTGTAATGTCCTGTAAATCTGTAATGGAAATAAAGTTGTCACAACAAATTTATTTTTTAAGATTTTTAGGTTTGAAAATTAAGAATCTAAAAAATATTTTGTATATTTCTGTTTTACATGGTGGAAATACCTGCTCTGAGTACCTTATGATTGAATAAAAGCTTTTATGGATTTTTAATAGAGTGAGAATTCAAAGTGAATTTCAAATTTAAGGTCAAAATAGTTTAACTGGAAAAATTATTTAAGTCAGCTATGCTTTTCCAGTTTGGATACGCTGGCTTTAAATTTGAAATTTTCACTTTAGTAAATAGCCCTGTTACATTATTTGTGTATATATGTTGTATGTTTTATGGCAAGTACTAATAATTATGGTTTATCATGTAAAGCATTATTACAACCCCACAGTAAGGAATTGTAGTCTTGGTGAGATATAGCAAACATCATTTGTGTTAAAGGTATACTCTAAGACAAGCTATAAAAAGTACAGCTCTACTTCGGCTCTAATGGCACGAAAAGCCTGGCTCCGATGTTGCGGTTTGGATAATGGGGAAGTGAACGTCTGCAATATCCGTCTAACCTTAGACAGCAGAGAAAGATATAAATAAACAAATAGTGCAGTATTGCTGATACACACAAATTGGAATTAAAATGTAGATAGTAAATACACTCACAAAATAAGAGCCAGTAGGAATACTTGGCTCAAAATTCTTGCACAACAGGATATTTATGGGAAATCCTACCCCCTCGTCTGTGTGGTCTCCTGTAGTTATCTGGACAGGAGATATCACATAGCGTGATACACCAATACAAAAAGCCTATAGGATAACACAAGGATGAACACAAGGATGCACTCACATGGTCCTAGAAATAGGCTTGCTCAACTCAATAAGTGGAGAGGTTCACAGGTGTTCCATGTGGAACAAAAAAAAAAGTCCTTTGTTGGTTAGTATACAGAGAAAAAGAAAACAAAAACGTAGCTGAACATTAAAAAAAAAAAAAAAAGACAATAAAAAGTCTCTAAAAGCTTCAAAACATGTTTCACCTTGTCCTACGGCCTCCTTAGTTGGTGAATAGAAGTTGTTCCTTCTCGCTTGTCCTTTTAAATGCTCGCCGGCTGATTGCTTCCGTTTAGCCGTTTATACATCTTATAACTGTCTGTTTTAATTTTATATAGCAGAGAAAGATAGGCTGTGAATTCTGGGCTAAACAACTTCAACATTTAGAGTCTATCTATGCTGCCCAAGGTTAAGGATAGTGTAAGGAAGAATAAGTGTAATTTCTGCATTACGTAAGCAGAGGGTCAGGCTGTATAGTCCAGGAAAATAAAACAGCTAAAAAAGGTTAGACACAATCCCAGGGGCGTGCCAACTACAATGAGCTCTATGGTTATGGTTATGGTGCTAAAACTGTCCATTTGATTAATGGAACAATATCTGATTATGATTGAGAAGATCAAAGATTGGTAAAAATTGAAGGACCAATTTGCATCTAAGAAGTAATGGAGGCTATGTTAGGAGAGGCAGGAGGAGATGATCTATATGATGAGCAGTAATGGGGGAGTGAACCTTGTGCATTTAAAGGGACACTATAGTCACCTGAACAACTTTAGCTTAATGAAGCAGTTTGGGTGTATAGAACATGCCCCTGCAGCCTCACTGCTCAATCATCTGCCATTTAGGAGTTAAATCCCTTTGTTTATGAACCCTAGTCACACCTCCCTGCATGTGACTTGCACAGCCTTCCATAAGCACTTCCTGTAAAGAGAGCCCTATTTAGGCTTTCTTTATTGCAAGTTCTGTTTAATTAAGATTTTCTTATCCCCTGCTATGTTAATAGCTTGCTAGACCCTGCAAGAGCCTCCTGTATGTGATTAAAGTTCAATTTAGAGACTGAGATACAATTATTAAATAAATTACATCTGTTTGAAAGTGAAACCAGTTGTTTTTTTCATGCAGGCTCTGTCAATCATAGCCAGGGGAGGTGTGGCTAGGGCTGCATAAACAGAAACAAAGTGATTTAACTCCTAAATGACAGTGAATTGAGCAGTGAAATTGCAGGGGAATGATCTATACACTAAAACTGCTTTATTTAGCTGAAGTAATTTAGGTGACTATAGTGTTCCTTTAATAGTTGATGACACTCTTTCGAAGGTTTATAGATATGATTAAACTAAGAAGGTGGAGTACAATCTGTCCACAGGAAATTTGATTAGGTTGAAGAAACCAATATTGTGTGTTTGGGTGAGAGTGACGGGGTTACAAGCTTCTGTATTGCTATTTAAGAGTATAATAGGATAGATCTATTGTATAGGAGATCTATGCAAATTGTCTTTTGAAGTTTGTTATCTCTGAGAGGATGTTGTTTGTTATGGGAGGGATGTGTTGATCCACTCCCATATCTTATCTGTTTTTGTGTGTGTTTTTTATATGAAATACAACAAAGAATAAGGATTTAAAAAATTAAAATAAAACTGTCCATTTGAGACCCAAGGAAATAGCAAACATATATTGTATTTTATTTCACGCACATAACAAGTTTGTATATACTAACACTGCTCAACTATTTGTCACCTAAAAATGCAGTGAAACCATTGATCTGTGATCAGGAAATAAATCTTCACCAACCAATAATTTTGAATTCCGTGCACCATTTCTTATCGTGATGTAAGAAGATCACTTAGCCAGGATATATAGGAAATTGAATTTTGTTAGTGGAGTGATGGACATGAATAAAAATGTTGACTTTCATTGACTGGTCCTTCAGCCTGTAATACAACTCCCTCCTATCAAGCTATATTCGTTTTCTGTGGTTTATATAATGCTGTGTAGGCAATTTCCAATGTCAGTACAGCTTTTGTCCCCTAAGTGTGTACCTTGTAAGGGTTAAGTGTTTATCAAGTGGGCATGGAAGGCCAAACATGTCAATCTTATAATGCGTTTTTTGAGATATCTGGTGAAAATATCTGCACTCTGACAGTCTGCTCTAACAACAGAACTGTCAGTGTCAAAATAATGTGATTTAATTATTTGCAGAGCTATTTATATAAGATCTGCTAACAAAATCAAGCTGGCAGATCCTTCGAGAGATCTCCTATTGTATTTGGAGATTAGTACTTCAATTGGAAGAATTCAAACTGATCTCTTCAGCCATCTGCAGCTCAGGTTATACTGCCAGCATTAATGGCAGTGTGCTTGCTGCAGCTGGCTAGAGAGAATTTCAGTGTGATCTAAGTGATCGCTATATGCTACTGTGATAAAACACCCTGATCTCAATATACTACTGGAGAGAATAACAGTGTGTGATCTGAATGATTGCTGGCTGCTAGTGTCCTAATGTAGGTAACTAGAAAACTGGTTACAAGGCTACCTGAACTCTGATACTTCTGTTAATACAAAAATCTGCAAGAATCTAGAAAGTGACAGATGTCAAAACCAACATTCCCCATCCATTTTCACACACCACAACTACAAAAACATCAACCCTTTAGTGACAGATGATATAGCACGGACTGTCACACGCACCAAAAAAAACTGATTTATTTTATGGCACAGCCCTGAAGACATCATTGACAATCTAGTATCGAAATGTCCTTAGTAAATTATCCTAGGATGTAACCATTTTAGTATGGTTTGACAATTTACCTGGGTACCACCAGATGCCCACCCTATATATGCTCCCAGTCTTCGCCATAGGAAAATCTTTATTGGCTCATAAGCACAGCCCTTGATTGGCTGTGCTTTAATGTTCGGAAACATCTGGCTTCTACAGCAGGAGACCAAATGTACTTTGGACTCCCAGCGAAATGGCACCAGGGCACCATCACCTCTACAGCAGGCTTTAGTGGTTATGGTGCTTGGAGTGATCTTTAAAGGACCACTATAGTGCCAGGAAAACATACTCGTTTTCCTGGCACTATAGTGCCCTGAGGGTGCCCCCAACCTCAGGGTCCCCCTCCCGCCCGGCTCTGGAAGGGGGAAAAAAAAAAAACTTACCTTTTTCCAGCACTGGGCGGGGAGCTCTCCTCCTCCTCTCCTCCCCGTCGGCTGAATGCGCACGCGCGGCAAGAGCTGAGGGAGCATTCAGCCGGTCGCATAGGAAAGCATTATCAATGCTTTCCTATGGACGCTTGCGTGCTCTCACTGTGATTTTCACAGTGAGAAGCACGCAAGCGCCTCTAGCGGCTGTCAATGAGACAGCCACTAGAGGCTTTGGGGGAAGGCTTAACCCATTCATAAACATGCTATGTTTATAAAAAAAAATGGGTTAACCCTAGCTGGACCTGGCACCCAGACCACTTCATTAAGCTGAAGTGGTCTGGGTGCCTAGAGTGGTCCTTTAAAACAAAAAAATGATATATATAATAAACACACACAAAAAATACTGTTATGAATCATCTGCATATCTCAAGTTATACTTTGAGGGATCCTGTTTGGGCATAGAAACTTGAGAAATCCTATTTCCACAGAGTTCCAAGCTTGACATGCAAATACACACAGTCTGGCTTTGTGTTTCAGACTTCATACAGCATTTCTGTAGATACCCTTAGCACCATGGACACGGTTTTAAACACAGCTTTTTTAAACCAAAGCATGGGCTATTAACCCAAAGGATCGGTGACAAGAAACATACATATATATATATATATATCAAGAATCTCTGTACAATATTATTAGATCTGCATGTGTTAGAACAGGGTAATTCCAGGTAAACACACTAACACTAGACACTAAATTGCCAATCTGAAAACATTCTTTGCAATTGTTAACAGGATTTGCCTGTTTATGGCCAGTGAGTGACCTTTTTGTCAATTAAAACCAATACAGGCTTAGAGCAATTACAGTGTCTCACCCTGCCAGAGCAAATTTACCTTTCTAAGTTGTTAAACATAAAGCTACAGGATGAAACATTGCTACTTGATTTCAGTCTTCTATTTGATCACGTCTGACGTCAGTCCAGCTATCATTTATACTGTCAAGCTACTGTTTTATTGCTGGTTACCCAATTGTAACAAAGAAAAAATACATATCTATACATATATTTTTTAAAACATACAATTTGATGGTGCTTCACCAAATGCACGTACACCATCTGTGCATTTGGAAACGCGAACTATGGCATAAAACGGAGACTTCTTTGTTTCTTTTAAACAAAGAAGCTTAAAACAGTCAAAGTAGCAGTTCTCAAATCCATATTTATGTATTACTAACAATTTGTAGTAGTACTGTTAGTACTAGTAATACAGTGCAACTTAATCCTAGGCAAAATATACAGGATGGCCCAAAAGTAGGTATATAGTTGAATCAATGAAATTAATCACAACAGATTATATGGGTACACATACACACAACAAAGAGGCACTAAATTTCAGTTATTTAAATATCAGTCTGGCAGTTGGAAAGAATAGTGGAATGTTGCAATGTTGATGGAAGTCATATGCAAATAAACTATACACCTACTTTTGGGCCACCCAGTATTTGTGACACATAAATGAAAATTAGTGCAAAATGTTCCAGGGGCATTATAGTGTCAGGAACACAAACGTGTATTCCTGACATTTTAGTTCTAAAACCAACATTTAGGTGGTCGGCCCCGCTTACCTCAGGTTCGAAAGGTGATTTACTGACCTTTTTCCCATAGGTAAGCATTGGATTGGCAAAGATCAACACTTTTGCCTCAGACAGTCACTTGAGGTGTTCCTTTTTTTTTTTTTATGCATTGTGTGCAGGACCTATGTTCAGAGTCTCCACGCTCTGCATGGCGTTTTGTCATGCATGCACAATAGCCTCCCAATGCTTTCCATTGGAAAGCAGCAGCGAGATCGGTGCGGCAAGGGAGAAAGGGTTAATAAACTCACCATTTCCATGTGATCAGCGGGGAGCTAGGTACCTAAATAGTACATGTTTGTATTCCTGACACTATAGAGTTCCTTTCATGTTGTTTATTAGTCACACCTCTCTGCATGTGACTTGTTTCCCTACACACTTCCTGTAAAGAAAGATCTAATGTTGCTTTATTGCACAGTCCTTTTAATCTATAATTTCTTATCTCCTGCTCTGTTAATGGCCTGCTAGATCCTAAAGTAGCTTCTAAGTGTGATTGAAGTACAATTTAATAGCAGGAAATAAAACATTTAAAAGTAAATGTAAGATCTGATTGAAAGTAAAAACACAAATAAAAGTGATTTCGCTACTAAATGGCATAGAATTGAGCAGCAAGACTGCAGGGGCATGATCTATACACGAAAACTGCTTCATTAAGCTAAAGTTGTTCTGGTGTCTATCCCTTTAATTCACTGACTCCTTTCCCTGCCTCTCTTCCATCCCCACTCACATTGAGTACCACATTCAGGTGTTAAACATATTGCTGCTATAGAATGCATGTTTCTAATACCAGAGGTGCAAATATCTCTGTATGTACAGGGTTTCAAGCTAAAACACTATGCATACAAACTCCTACCACCATGACCAATTCTAAAAGCAAAGTGGTCATGGTGGCTGGAGTAACCCTTTAACTGAAAACATATATTGATGAAATATATAACAAAAAAAAGGCAACACCACTACCAGCTGCATAGAAGATACTGTCCTTCCAATAAATTCTTTGTTTCCTATTAGGAGAGTGACACGCTTGAAGAATATATTGTAACCACTTTTTATGGAATTAAACAACCTGTCACAACAGATATAAAATAATTCTAAACAAAGGCCAGCAAGAAGGGGGTTAATTACACAGTACTACAATGAATATTTATGCTGGCTATCTTTTCTCCAATTAAACACATCTGTTTCATCCAAGCTTGGAACCAAAATCCTAAAGCTTTCTAATATTTTCCAAACAGAAAAGATCATGTGGGAAAAGGTTAATAGAATTAACCCGCTCTAAGTATGCAATTCATGTACATTATGCTAGCTTGTCACTAACCAACTAAACCTGAGTTTGGAGTTCAAGAATGTGAGTGTGACTACAATGAAGATGTCTGAAAGAACCTCTGACTACAGAGTGTAAGCCCTGTTAATTTCAACATGCCAAAGCATTTCCATCAGAAAATTAGGTCAATAGCTAAAATGGGGTGATGGAGACTATTGTATCACAATAAATGTCAACTGGAGGTGGATAGGACCAAAGCAGAGCTGAGTGCCTGGGTCCTGTCCGTGGAACCAAAAGACAGCTGCAGTATTAAAATAGGAGACTTGGGCGAAATTGATGCCTTGCAGGACTTGTTGCACGTAACCATTACTATATGTAACAAGATACTGTAAAACCAGCCATCTTCCATTTCCAATCTTTATTGGATTGGGAGCTTGGAGACTTGTGCCTATGCCACCCACTGGGACCACTGATGAATGTAATCTATAATATACCATTATATTTTCCATTAAAAATAATTCTGCAAAGACTAGAGTAGAATCAACTTGCCTATTCTATGAGCAAGATGTCTTCCAGGACATTTCCACCTGACCATCCATATTTGGTGAACCTTTTTCCCGGATTAGCACCAAGTATAATCCAGGTGCATGTAACAGAGCTAAGACATAGGTCAAGTTTTGGTTCTACCTACATCCCGGTTAATAGGCTGGAACTCTAGGCCCTTGTTAACTCCATACAATGCCTTTTTTCAAACCGGACAAATGCTTAATATGCATCTCAAGCCAGGATCAGCATGTGCAATCATTTTTGCCTTCAGCACAAACTATGGTGACCATCCACCTTAAACTCTTTTACTACAGAAAATATCCCATTACAGTATATTTGTTTAATGGATTTCAAGTCTACAATTTCCTGTACATATTTGACTTTCTATGGTTTCAGTGTGGAATATATTGTTGCCATCAACTTCTCCAAAAAGAAAATAGAATTTATAATATGATAAGGTGTTTATTAAAGGGACACTCAAAGCACAACTTTATTGTGTCTCTTTATTGTGTCCCTCCCATTGGATTGGAGCTTGGGACAGCAAAAGTCTCATAAAGATCCCATAGTCTCTATGAGAAGCATTTTATTAAGATCTTGAGTATCAGTGGGGAGATAAAGAATCTTTTGATCGTGTACCTTTTTCTATTTCCTTTCCTATGAATTCTTGCCTGTCATCTTTGTCATCTAATTTTCCTTTCTCTATGCCCTCAGTCCTGTACTTCTACACTTTTTCCTTCCCCTTCATATAAATCACCATGTCGTGCATTTAAAAGGATTCTTTCAGATGACTCATTGCAAACACTGATGAAGAACATGAATGGTGAAACGTGTTTGCAAAACTGAATGAGAAGAACCACATGAAAACATATAAATCCATTAAAATGCAGCCAAGGGGGAACTCTGCCAACTATATGTTTCCTTGTGTAATATTGTTTTGTTTAAAATACTTTCAAGAAAGAGCTCAAGTTTATGCTTTTAGATGGTTTTGCAGTTTGGATCTCTACATTCCTCTATATTTAAATTCTACACAGCCAGCATAGCTGTAGGTGAAACTCCATGAACAGAGCAGCAGGAAGAGAACATGGGAGACCTACCTATTGGCCTCTAACACACTACTTCATAGTTATCTATGCTTTACATAGTCCTATCAAAAACAGGTTATGTGCATGCCACATTGTCACCATTAAAGTTTCTCTTAGGTGGTTCTAAAAAACCTTTTTACCCCAAATAACAGATTTAAATGGACACTCAAAACTCTATCCATTAATGCTTATAGCGAACTAAACAAGACGGTTAAACTACACATTCCATTAATCATTGTTTTGCAAGGATGTATGGGATATCACAATTCGCCCATTCAAAACATCAGGATAACATGACCAGCTGGGAGTTTTCTGCAATCAATGGACATTCACAGAAGATAATTGTCTATTTTTTTCCATTTGTTTGCATTTTGTTTGTTTTTGAATACAGTAACGCTATAAAACATTGAAAAGGGAACACCACCAGTCTTTAGTGGGCTTTTAGAGAATTCAGCGGTACTTACCTCTTTCTCCAAAGACAGTTGGTCATACTGCTCTCTTTTGCGAGTCAGCTCAGTTTCCAGCAATTCTACTTGTTGTCTCAATTGGACAGTTTCCTTTTCCAATACAGCGGTTATCTTTGCCAGCTCCTCTTTTTCTTTCATTGTTTTTTCGATTTTTAACTGAAATAGATGATATTGCTTGTTAAATAAACGCTTTGAGAAAATTGTATGCAACTTTATGTGATACACCTGACTTGAAGCTACATTTTAACAATGGAGTCAAGAGTTCTTGGAAAAACAAATTTGTGATTTGCTGTAAAAATACACTACGGTTTAATCAAGAACAACTTTTAACATTTTCAGCATATAAATAGTTCCCATATAATCTAAACAGTGGCAGAACTACCTCGTTTGCAGGGGTCACAGCTGCGACCGGGCACGCCACTCCAGGGGGCCCGGTTGCCCTGCAGACCCCTGCAACCGCTGGTCCCGCCGGCTAAGTAATGCGGCCCTGGACGGCCACTTTTAAGGGGCCCGCGCTTAATCAGCGCGACTGGGCGCCCTCTGATGAGGTCAGGGGCTGGGAGGAAGTGACTGCCCCAGTCACTTTCTTCCAGCAACCACTGGGAGCCGCGCGGGAGGAACGAGAGGAGGGAGTCAGAGTGGGGACTCTGACTTCCATCAGGCTGAGCCACTGGACCCCAGGAAAAGGTATGTGTGTGCATGTATGTATGTCGGTCTGTGTGTCTGTCTGTATGTGTCTGTATGTGTGTATGCGTCTGTATGTGTATGTCTCTGTATGTGTATGTCTGTCTTTCGGTCTGTCTCTATGTTCGTGTCTTTGGGTTTGTATGTATGTATGTGTGTCTATGTGTCTGTTTGCATGTGTGTGGGGAAACATATGGGGGAAGGTGGCGGGTAGACATACAGGGGGGGGGCAGGGCAATTTTGAAGCCGGGGCCCCGTGGTTTCTAGTTACGCCTCTGAATCTAAACCTATGCGCTTTAATTACTGCTATAAATGTTAAATTACCATTATTAAAATTGAGTCATCTTAATCTTCATTGTTAAACTCCTGTGCTAGGATATATTTTAAATTTATTTATGAATAAATGGTATATGTCACAGCATGGGAGAAATTATATTTACTTTTTTATATTTTTAAAGGCTACCTTTAGTATTGTAAACTATAAACTTTTTTTCCACTAAGTTTAATTACGTCATTTTGGAGTTTCTTCATTTGTATTCCTCAAATACCACTTTCCTGCTCATGTAGACATTTTTAAATGTCTACATGAGCAAGATTCTGTTTTTCATTGCAAAGCAAATTGAAATCTAGAGAACAACGCCTCACTTACAACCCCACCCCCACCAAACCCTTTTTCAGGCTTTTGCCCAGCAAAGGAAAGAGTTTATAGCAAGCAGCAGAACTATTAAAGTTTGCCTTGTCCCCCTTTGTACTGTAATCTACAAAGTTCTTAAGTACAGTGGTTGTTTAACAGCTACTGAATGTACACATGTAAGGCCTTATGTGCAGCATGCAATAGCATTGCTCTGAAAACTGCATACGTTTTAGCCATATAAATATACTTAGTGCAGGGGGCATTATATTTATATTTTAATGGCATTTTTGATAGAGAAGCAGAATTTCCAAAAATGGCAATATGTTTCTTATATATTTTCACTAGTTGTATATTTGTGCATTGTTACTTTATGTGACAAAGGCTTTATCAATATTAATGACAAAATTAAAGGGAATCATATATGGCAAGGATGACAGATTCATTTTGCAGTGTTGCTTGTTTTATCTATGGTCTACTATCCTAACAGCTCGCAAAATATATAAGGTTATTTTACTTGCTGTGTGGTAAAGAAAAAATATATAGAAGTAAGCAAGCAACTGACACACACTGTACATTTTAGAACAAAGTGAGCATGATTTATGGGCAGGCTTCGTGTAGAAAGCAACATCCATTTCTGGTGGCACATCACAAAAATGCATGTACTATAACATGTCCGTACCTCAAGGAGTCCTGCTTTGGTAGTCACTACCAGCATGTCTGAATGGCCTTCATCTTCCATGGTTAAAAGTTCATCTACTGGAGAAGTTGTCCGAAACTGGAAAGGTGTGCTTGCTCCACGAATTTCTCCATTTTGTGTCACATAGCAGAACTGATAAAATTCACCATCATCATTGGGAAGGTAGTATCCTAAAGAATATAATTTAGAGGGTTAGTTGAATTGGAGTGAATATTTTTTTTAAAGCATGGTATGATTTATTATCATATAGTCTAGTGTATATATATATATATATATATATATATATATATATAAAATATTCAAATACTTGCACTCCTGTAGAGATAGATTAATGCCTGGTGCTAATAAAACAAATAACATAAAAATAAAAATGGTAGGTAACAGCACTCTAAGGACTTCAAAAAGTAAATGGTGAAAAAAACTTAGCTTTTATTCAGCAACTGCCACACAAAATCGACGTTTCAGTTCTTAATACAGAACTTTCATCAGGATCATATATATATATATATATATATATATATATATACACATACATACATACATACATACATACACACACACATATACACACACACACACACTTTTTTTATTGGACTTAAAAAATTTTGTAAGGACAAGCTTTTGGGAGAACCTCCCTTTCTCAAGTATGTCTGACTATCTCTCATAAAATGTATTCTCATTGATTCAATCAACTTTACTGAATTTAATTCAATGCTACTTTGTGAGAAGCATTTGATTGCAGTAGCAGAGCACTTCATATGATTGCATAAGAAATCTAAAAGGACTTGAAGACGAATGAGAGGCAGAGCAGACGGCTGCAAACACTTAGTCTCGGTGGTGGGAAAAGAGGTAAGAAGAGGGCTATTTACTGCAAAGCATAAATGGGGAACCCGGGGGTCACAATGATACCAATAAACAAATTAATTAAGTAATAACTACTTTGTCCAATGAAATGCTTCTCATTGAGGAGCATTGTGGACTTAATGCACATGCAATCAAATGTTCAAGAACAGAGTCAGGCTTGATTCACACTGCAGAAGCACTCACTAGTGTCTTTCAGGTAGACAGCCACTGGGTGTGTTAAACCCCACAATCACATTATTTCCAAACAGCCATGTTTTAAATTGTTACAGTGTCACAATGAGATGAAGTGGTTTGGTGATTATAGTGGTTTCTCTGAAACTGTTATGTATACATCTGAAGGGTTAAAACCTGGGGGACCTGGCACCCAGACCACTTCATTGAGGTGTAGTGGTCTGGGTGACTATAGTGTCCCTTTAACGCGAGTTATAGGCGATTTTCAATTATTATTATTTTTTTTATTCAATTATGTACATTTCATAGAAGTGTCTATGATAGGCTGAATGTAATGTGCAATGTATGAAACAAAACTAAAATAGTGCTCCTCTCTCTGACTTATTTTTTTTTTAAACAAAATTAATCCATTTGTAGGCAACATATCCACTATATTGTGATATATAATCTGTTGGTGTTTTATAAATAAAGTAGTTATCTTCAAGACTTGAAACATTTCTATGCACTAGTAGAGTTTGGGAGATGACAGTTACATGAAATAGTATTAACAATCTTCCAAGGAACCAGCTACTTTCTATAGCATTAACACAAATATTTATTCTGGAAGCACGAAAGCTCTTTAACACATTTTTATTCTCAAAGCACTTTGGTAGTTCTTACTTCACAAACATTCTCCACAATTTAGTGGGGTAGGACACTTAATTAGCTGCCATTTCAAAAAGAAACTGCAGTTTTTCTGTTAACAGAGTATCAGGTTTATAAGTAAGAACACTTGGCCTGCTGGATTTCACAAACACCACATCTCAATGTGCATATTCACTAGTGGTCTGGCATATAATCACAATATAGAAACGGCAGAGAGAATGCAGCCTGTTTTCCCCCCAAACCAGGGTAACATCAAATAAGAGCATTCATAAAAAATAAAAAAAAAATAAAAAAAAATTAATCTTCTGATAAGTCCATTAGTTTCCTTATGGAGATTACAGGTGACAGCCACTAATTTAGTGAATTGTGCTAAGGACGGAATAGATGTACCATAGTGGGTCAATAGATAAGAAAATATCCAATGTCAAATCCATTAGTGAGTAGTGTGCCACAGTGCAGCATAACAATGAAACAGTGCTTACTCCAATCACATGTTTAATTCCACCTCCTGCGCTCCTCTTTATATGTAATTCTGTCCCACAGTGAATTGCATCACATAGAGGATTTTAATTCCTCCAACCTAATGTCTGGAGGTATGAATAATGCACGAAGTGAGAAATGGGAGCAAAATGGTACTATAGATGCTGTTATAAATTAAACAAAAGGAAGCCAAGATAATTGCATGAAAATGGTAAATTAACAATTAAAAAGGGCATGAAAAGAGGATGTGGAGAGATGGTATGTAAATGTGAAGCAAAGAGAGATGTCACAAAAATGGGATGTGGGGAGATTGCATTTAAACAGCAGTGGTCCAGAATGAAGACATATAAAGGAGAAGTAGAACAGGGGAGTGTGGAAATAGTAAGAAATGGGTTTGACTGATAATAGAGAATGCTGCAAGGTAATCAGTTTAACAAATTACCATAAGCTGGTGAGATGAAAATGTATGTCTGAAATATTGTTTTACAACTGATTTATGAGAATAAGTGATTGGTTGACAACCACTTTATTTAATTTTTGTCCATAATTGGATAATATATAAACACGCAGTACAACATCACGATCTCTGTACCGCCACACGTATGTCTCACCTAGGAAAAAAAAATTACCACCAATGGCAGGCTCACCTTGAAAAGTCAGCACGCAATCACATGTGGATTCTGCCACATACTTTTCTGGCATAGGAGACCAGAGAAATGTGTAGTAATCTCGGGCAGTGCTCCATCCAACCTGAAACAAACATACAAATACATGTAGTAAACAATACAAAAAATATAATAAGGTTAAAAACGTGTGAATGTGAATAGCAAATGTTATCAAGTTGTTAAATACTTATTTTCAAGAAGATCAAAAATAATCAAACAGCATTTGAGAAGATGCAGGATGAGACAGGAGAAGGAAAACAACTCGTGGATTAATCTGAAATCAAAGATTGATTTTGACTGCTTTGCTATTTTATCTGGAATGTAAATTTTATGGCAAGACAGGAGGCTTCATATTTGCTTTAACCTTCTTTACTGAACCTCCCAGCAGCAAAGAAATAGTTAAACATATAGAGAAAAAATCAACCAATCAGGACACATATTAGAACATAACAGTCTGTCAGGCTCCTCCCAAATCCTCTTTCTTTGCTGCTTGCCTCCCAGGTGAGTCTATTCCAATTATAGCTCTCTAATATATATATTATTGACCTACCTTATATTGTTTTTTTCCATATATTTTTTGACTCCTTTAATTAACTTTCCCTGTCTCTTTTATTTCCATGAGGTAATGGTGTGTTTATTTTATCTGTGCACTTTACCACATAAACCTTTTCACAGGTCAGCCCACTGTTCAGTCCCTTCCCTGTGCTTTTTATTTATGACTGACTGGGTTTTTTTGTAGTAAAACCTTAATAACCTTTTCCTTGGTGAAATTATCTTCAGACCGCGCCACTGCTGTGGCTGCGGTCCGTTTTAATCACGCCCGCGATCTATTTCCGTACCGCCCGTTTTTTCGCGTCATTTGATTGACACGCAGTTTCCCGCCTTCCTCCTTCTATGCCGGCGGCCATCTTCTGTTCGGCGGTTAGTTTCCGTTCGCGCGCTTTTTCGGTGAACAGCTCTCTGCTACTGGATTACAGCTCTGTTAGACGGTAAGTTTCATTGCCCCCTGCTGGTACATTTTGTTATTACATCTGAATATTACACAGAACACTTGCTTATATTAGCCTATTTGTGTTTTTATTTGCAGATTGCTCTCAAACTATACTATACAGCTCTATGCCTATTAGAGGGTGACCCCCTCTTGCCTTTTTGATTTAAGGGTGATCCCCTTGTGCCTCTTTATTGAGGGTGACGCCCTCGTGCCTTATCTCTCAGGGTGAACCCCTTATATATTTTATTGATTTGCACAGGTTACCCCTGTCATTATTATATTGACAGTTTAACTGCCATAATTGTGGATGAACCCCACTTAGTCCCCTTCAAGGTGACTGCATATTATCTGGGTGAACCCCAATAAGACAGCCCCTGCTTTTACTTGTTTTGTGTAAAGTTTGTTAATATATATAATATAAAAAAAAAAAAAAAAATTTAAAAAAATAAAATAAAATAAAAGTTGTTTAATATACCTTTTGGTATACTGATTCTGTGGTGAACCCACTACTATTTTACTGGTCACCATGTCGGACCAACCAGAACCTGCAATATCAGCAGAATTAAAAGCCTGGCTTCAAGCTGCAATTGCAGACTCTATCCCCAAAGCCTTGGCAGCATTTCATGACCAGACAGCCACTACTGCCACCATCTCGCAATTGTCAGACTCTGATGATTCCAGGGTCTCTGACCATGACGAAGCCCCATGTAAACGCCCGTGGAAGGGTAACAGTGCTTCTGCTGGCAAAGCCCCAGCAAAGACAGCTAAATTGTCTCATGCCAAACCCACTTTGACCTCAGAATCCGACCTCTTAAAGGATTCAGCCTCTGGCTATCACCTACGAGTGATAGACGAATACAATGCGTATCCAGAGGAGGATCTCCCAGGTGACCCTTCCCCTTCTGAATTTGTTACAGAGACTTTCCTCCTACCGCAAACCCAGTCCTTTCAGGACACTGACCCTATGTCCACTACTAATTTAGACAATACTAAGGACGATATCCTACTTGATACCAATGGTTGTCCTCTATTTGACCCACGCTGCATCAGACACCCTCGTTCAGCGGAATGGACACCCCCTGATCACATTGCAAAATATTGCATATTATGGCTTTGTAAACCCTTAGAAAAGGAGATTAGGGCCAAATTAAGAGCAGAATGTCCACGGCCTATGATCCCTGATAAGGGGGCTGTCACCCCTGAACTTGACCCACTCCTGGTCACTTTTCTAACTAAGACGGGTAAAGATCCCCGCAAAGGAATCGAAGTTGGCTTAAAAGACACCCAGGACAAGCTGATGGATATAGCAGGCCCGCTTATCCCGATTTTTATAATTGATGATGAGACGCTAGCAGGAGGCAATTTTGACGCACACATGGTGCGTGAATGGGCACAAAGAGCGTTATGCCTGTTAGGCAACGCCAATGTAGCTATTTCCGTTGAACGGCGTAAAGCCGTGTTACATAAAATTGATGCCAAATTGGCAGAACTAGGCACCAAAGAACTTGGTCCAGAGGTTAACGGACTATTATTCGGGGACAGGTTCATACGAGACCTGAATAAACACGTATCCGTGTTTACCTCCCTTAACAAGGCACAATGGAACCTTCGCAGGGTGTTCAGACCCCAGCGTTTTTCCGGGAGAGCTGGTCGCTATAGGGGCCGAACGACTGGCAGAGCTGCCTTCACAGGCTACAGGCCTCAACCAGCAGACTCATGGAATTCGGGCAATACCCGTTTCTACCACAAGCAGTTCTTTCCCTCTAGACGTTCCATCAGAGGACGTGGATATGCTTCCCTCTTATTCTCAAGTTCCTATTGCAGGTCGGCTAACCCTTTTTTTCCAACAGTGGTCTCTATTAACTCAGGATCCATGGATCCTTCAAACTGTATCTGGTTTCCATATAGATTTTGCAAACGACCCTCTACAAGAGTTCCCCCCTCCACCTCTACACATGTCTCAAGAGGACAATGCGACTTTGGAGGCCGTGCTAAACGACCTTGTCGCCAAGGGCGCTATAGAACGTTCTCGATCCCCTCACAGATTCATAAGCAACATATTTCTGGTCCGAAAACAGTCAGGGGACTTTCGACCAGTTATCAACCTGAAAGACCTAAACACTTTTATTGTTTACCAACATTTCAAAATGGAGGGTATCCACCTCCTTCAAGACCTACTCTGCGAGGGAGACTGGTTCTCCCGTTTAGACTTGACAGATGCTTACCTCACGGTTCCTATAACACCGGCCCATCGCTGTTTCCTACAGTTCAGATGGCATCAAGACTTATGGCAGTTCACATGCCTTCCCTTCGGACTCTGTTCCGCACCCTGGTGTTTCACCAAGCTGATGAAACCGGTCATGGCCTTGCTACGCTCCCAAGGGATTCGCTCCATCATATATCTGGACGATATCCTCCTTATGGCTCGGGACCCAGGCACTCTACGCCTCCATACAGACATGACCACAGCTCTGTTACAAAACTTGGGGTTCGTGATCAATGTCCAAAAATCCATCCTCACCCCATCTCAGGTGGTTCAATTCCTAGGATTCTAAATAGATTCCGTTTTGGCTGTCCTACAACTCCCTTCAGTAAAGATCAAGAACATCAAAAAAGACATCAGAAAAATTCTAGCCTCTTCGACTATCCGCCTTCGCGACTTAGCTCGCATAATCAGACTACTCTCCGCCTCAATTCAGGCGATCTTCCCAGCTCCTTTACATTACCGAGCAATGCAATGTCTGAAGACTCGCTCGTTACGTCACTCTGCATCTTACGATCAACAGATCTCCTTGACAGACGAAGTCCGACTCGAATTGAACTGGTGGCTACACCATATGGAGGCATGGAATGGGAGAGCGATCTTTGGATCACAGCCAGATTACATCCTAGAATCAGATGCCAGTCTGCTGGGCTGGGGTGCATCATGCGTAAATCTCTCTACCGGAGGCTCTTGGTCCCCATCAGAACGAGCATTGCACATCAATTGCCTCGAGTTGATTGCCGGGTCCTTTGCGATTCGCAGTTTCGCAAAGGACTCCTACAATTGTTCCCTAGTACTGAGAATGGACAACATCTCAGCTGTTCAATACGTGAATCGTTTAGGGGGATCCTGTTCCAAAATGCTCTCAGACCTCACAAAAGAACTATACCAGGAACATCTCCCTGCGAGCGGAGTATCTACCGGGTTCAGACAACTTAGTCGCAGATTGGTTCTCTCGACACTGGAGAGACTCCAGCGACTGGCAATTGGACCCACACGTTTTTTACTGTCTCCATCTTCTTCGGGGTCCATTCAATATCAACCTATTTGCGTCTCGTCTGAACCGACAGACGGACACTTTTTTCAGTTGGTTGCCGGATCCGACCTCTCTGGCAGTAGACGCCTTCCTTCAATCTTGGCCAATGACCGGTGCTTATGCCTTCCCTCCGTTCTCCATGATCCTTCGCACTCTCCATCATCTCAGGACTCAGGGGACCACAATAACACTGCTGACCCCTTTGTGGCGTACCCAGCCATGGTTCCCCAATCTCTTGGAGATGTTGGTGAATTATCCACTACTGCTACCTGCCACGCACGATCTTCTCAAAGATCCCGCAGGCAATTTTCACCCTCTTGCGTTGCAGGGTCATCTCCAGCTAGTGGCCTGGACTGTTTCAGGGGATCCTGGAATGCCGCAGGACTTTCGGAGTCTGCTAGAGCACTCTTATGGGACTCATGGGCCCCCGGGACTAGACGCTCTTACCTCTCAGCCTGGCGAGTTTGGCATCGCTGGTGCTTGGAAAGGTGTATTGATCCCGTTTCAGCTTCTTTGATTAACGTCATGAACTTTTTGTCCTCTCTTTTTGATCAAGGTAAATCCTACAGATCCATTAATGTGTTTCGTTCAGCAATTTCGGCAGCTCATGGCCCCATTGATAATACAGCAATAGGTAAACACCCCTCCATCTGTAGACTGTTGCGTGGCATTTGTCTTGCTCGACCTCCTGTCCCAAAATATTCTAATTTTTGGGATGTTGCTCTTGTTTTGTCCTTCCTAGAGACTTGGCCACCCAATGAAGCACTCTCTTTACGACAACTGTCGGCCAAATTAGCTTTGCTCCTCTGCTTGGTTTCTTTTAGGAGAGTCTCTGATATTCAAGCATTTGACTTTCACGCTATTGAATTCACGCCCCAAGGTATATGTTTCAACATTTCTCGCCGCACTAAAACTAATTCCTTAACGATTACTTACCCTTATTTTTCCGACAGACCATCGCTTTACGTTGCTCGTTGTGTCCAACACTACGTCGCCTCTACATCACCTCTACGTCCCCCTACGGGCCCCCTGTTTATCTCATATGTGCGACCACACAAGCCAGTGTCTTGTCCCACGATTGCCCGCTGGATTAAATGGCTTCTAGATTCAGCGGGCATAGATTCATCTTTTGGCGCTCATTCTGTCAGAGGTGCTCCTGCCTCTTCCGCCTTTATAGCTGGGGGATCCCTTGCAGACATCCTAAAATGCACTGATTGGTCTAGAGAATCTACCTTCCGTACCTTCTATTTTCGACAATCGTCCCATGCTTCTTTTTCTTTGGTTTCCACGCTTTAAAACAGCAAATATGAAGCCTCCTGTCTTGCCATAAAATTCGGGATTATTCTAGCTTTAGTGACTGAATAATCTAAATTTTATTAAAGACAGGAGGCGAATATTTTCCCACCCTATTGATCTCCCACCCAGATTTTTTTTCAGATCACATGTACTCTTAAAATGTTTTCTAGGTTTCTTGTGAGACTTTATATTTATCTGACTTTATCTGACGGTGCTTATCAATCTGCCTGGTTCTGATTATTTTAAATTTTGCAATAGTTATACTCGTAATATCCAGGGGGTAGATCTGTAAATGTAGATATCTTGCGGACACCCAGTCCAAGTGACCATACTTTCACGATCTTTCTCTGTCTTTTAGTGTGAAGTTTCTCTACATGAGCCACGAAGACTACGTTCCTTTGGTCTCTAGTATCGGCTGCGTTCTGGTTTACATGGTTGATGGATTACTCAAGTTTACACGGTTGACTACACTTATGATCGGCTGCATCAGAAAGAGGATTTGGGAGGAGCCTGACAGACTGTTATGTTCTAATATGTGTCCTGATTGGTTGATCTTTTCTCTATATGTTTAACTATTTCTTTGCTGCTGGGAGGTTCAGTAAAGAAGGTTAAAGCAAATATGAAGCCTCCTGTCTTGCCATAAAATTTAGATTATTCAGTCACTAAAGCTAGAATAATCCCGAATTATGGTCAGTATTTTAGCCACAGATGAGTATAAAATAAAGGTTGCCCAAGTTGCTAAACAATGCAGATTATATGGGGCCATAAAAGTAAAAATAAATTTCTAAAGTTGATCTAGAAGCTGAGTCGACTCTGAAGCATGGTTGTTTCTTTAATATAAGAGTTTAGCTTTTTTCTTTTGACAGTGTTTTTTTCTTATCTTTTTATTGAAGCAAACGCTAAACATGCCGAATAAGGCATATGGAAATGTATCACATGTGCAAAAAAGACATACTACTACCTCATAGTATGTACAAGCATAAAGCAAGCTTGTAGAAATTAGTTAAATAAAGACCTAGCCCTAAGTCAGCAGACTAACTCTCCAAGATAGAGTGCATGAAAACCTTGTTGACCTTGGAGGGACTGAAGTTATATATGGAGCTCCCTCTTTAGCCCCATGAAGATCTCTACAATTGGCCGAATTGGGAAGGAGGATATTAGTGTTTTTTTTTTATTATTTGTAATTTTATATCAGGCAGACGCTTTTCAAAGCAGCTACCTGTTATAAAACTAAAGATCACTAGTATAGTGCTGCACCAGACTATTTATGAGGAAGGTTGGTGCCATCCGAATGACTATTCGGAGAGTGTGCTGGGGACCAGAACTTTGCTGTAAACACCTCTAACAGTTTTGTAAGGCAGGATCACATCAAGTACCTGCCTGTGCAGCATGTGCTTGTTTCCAACTATGCTTTCACTGAGATCCTGAAGAGTGTTGTCATCTTGCTGTGGGTAGAGATTAAGAGACAAGACATATCTCCACCACCTCTCTGATAGCGTTTTGGTAGTCACATTTTCCTTTGAGCCAAAGTGTGTTTCTGAAACATAGCAATACCCTTGCTTGCTGATGACACTCACTGTATGGACTGTAGTCCAATAGTTACCAAAAAGGACTAAAGTGGCTCTGTCACTTCCAAAAAAGATTTTTTTAGTTAGGTATATCCTAAATCTCCCTTTTTTCCAAAATGACCCTTTTTTTAAAACAACTTTTCCTTATGTATAACCAGCAGGTTGACAAAAGGTGAAGATGTAATCAAGCTCCACGGTCTTTGCCAGGTTTGTCACTGACCATGTGTGTACTTATCTCCCTCCTGCACCACATCACCTATTGAGGTGGATTATCAGTTGTGCGATCACTAGAGTCAACACAGAGGTCAGTGAAAACTGACAGTGTACTGAGCACGCAATACCAGGGTTAGGGTTTAGGGAGTCTACAAAAATGCATAGTGTGGCACAGATTTATAAGACTAAAAGTGCATTATAAATACAGAATACCTATAAATACATTATATAACATTTACATTATCATGACAATGTATTTTTTTGTGATACAAAGTAAGGGGCGTATTGAAATTGAATAACACCCCATCTTATCCCTGGGGGGCCTAAAGTGTTTAGCAGTGGTAAGGAATCTGGTGCCCATTGACCGCAGACACCATAACCACTTCAATCCATATGGTGCCTGCAGTGTCCCTTTAAAGTCTTATTTTCTTAGCCTATCCGTGGAAGTTACTGAAGCAATTGACTTAGACTGTGCCACTAAACACGTAAAACAAAGTATGTATTGGGATACACCAAGTTTTAATGCAACCATATTACAATAAAACAATGATATTTCTGAGTTCTTCCTGCAATTATGAAAAATGTAGTTACATCCTGATAAACACATTTCCTTTTACAAAAACTAGAACATTTAGGCCTAAACAGCAATGTCTGCCAAATCATAAAAAACAAGATAACAAGATAAGTTGATTAAAGGATAACTATAGGGTCAGGAACACAAACATGTATTCCTGACCCTATAGTGCTAAACTCACCATTTAGGTGGCTTGCCACCCCTTAGCCCTCCTATAAAAGTATAAAACTCACCTTATTTCCTGTGCCGCACGGGTCTGCCCCCTTTGTGACATCATCGAAATGGACTATTTTTTGCCAATCCAATGCTTTCCCGTAGAATTGGCTTGCCTTAAATCAGGACGTGGGGGCAGGGCCATATGCCGTATTGGCCAATCAGGACCTCTTCATAGAGATGCATTGAATCAATGCATCTCTAAGAGGAAAATTCAGGGTCTCCATGCAGAGCGTGGGGACACTGAACGGGAGGGCTGCTTACTGTGCAGCCCTGAGCCAGGAAGCCCCTCCAGTGGCCATCTAAGGAGTGGCCACTTGGAGGTGTCCTTAGGGGCAATGTAAACACCGACTTTTCTGTGAAAAGGCAGTGTTTACATGAAAATGCCAGAAGGGAGCTATTATACTCACCCTAAAGGGACACTATGTTCTGGTGACTATAGTGTCCCTTTGATGTTTTGCTTGTCAGTAACGTGTGTTTTATGGCATATCAGGAAATCATTAACAATGCTTTAACCCCTTAAGACCGGAGGGCGTACTATTACGTCCTATTTTAGGCGGCTCTAAACGCCGCCGGGCGTAATAGTACGCCCTCCGGTCCTTCCTTACTTACCCGGTCGCCGGCGGTCCCACGCCGGCGATTGCGGTTGGGGGAACTCTCAGGGAGCCCCCCCCGCAGCAGATCCTCCTCCTCCGGTGCCTCCCGGCCATGTGAGAGTGAGGTCCTTGCGAGGACCTCACAATCACATGGCCGGGTAGGCTGCCTCCTGCATTGCCAATGTAATGACAGGTGGTCCCCCTGCTGGCTGAAAATAAAATAAATAAATGTTAAAATAAGTGTAAAAAAAAATAAAATAATATACTTAGATCATATATATATATATATATATATATATATATATATAATCTAAGTATAAATATACACATACACTGTATAGGTGTATTTTACTAATATATATATATATATATATTTTAATATCAAATTACACGTAGACAATTAGAGGGACCTGCCTGACAACCCATGCCGAAAGTAAAGGGAATTTAATTTGCTAGCACTATATTTAACCCTATAACTTTCCAAGACACCATAAAACCTGTACATGGGGGGTACTGTTCTACTCGGGAGACTTCGCTGAACACAATTATTAGTGTTTCAAAACAGTAAAATGTATTACAACGATGATAACGCCAGTAAAAGTGAAGTTTTTGCATTTTTCACGCACAAACAGCACTTACACGGACGATATTATTGCTGCGATACTTTTTACTGTTTTGAAACACAAATATTTGTGTTCAGCGAAGTCTCCCGAGTACAACAGTACCCCTCATGTACATGTTTTATGGTGCTTTCAAAAGTTACAGCATCAAATTTAAGGCTTGTGTTTCATTTTTTTCACATTAAAATTCACCAGATTGGTTAAGTTGCCTTTGAGACCCTATGGTAGCCCAAGAATGAAAATTACCCCTATGATGGCATACCATTTGCAATAGTAGACAACCCAAGGTATTGCAAATGGGTATGTCCAGTCTTTTTTAGTAGCCACTTAGTCACAAACACTGGCCAAAATTGGCGTTTTTTGCATTTTTCACACACAAACAAATACTAACGCTAACTTTGGCTAGTGTTTGTGACCAAATGGCTACTAAAAAAGACTGGACATACCCCATTTGCAATACCTTGGGTTGTCTACTATTGCAAATGGTATGCCAATATGGGTGTAAATTTCATTCCTGGCTACTATAAAGTCCCAAAGGCAACATAACCAATCTGGCGAATTTCAATTTCAAATGTAACGTGCAATATTTGACCCTGTAACTTCCCAAAACACCATAAAACCTGTACATAGGGGGTACTGTTTTACACGTAAGACTTTGCTGAATACAAATATGTGTATTTTATTGCAGTAAAAGCAAACAGTATTATGACATTGACAGTTAAAATGTCATGTAGAACTAAAAAAAAAAAAAATCAAAAGAAAATTTATTTTCTCACATTTTTTTCATATTAAATTATGTTTCATAGCTAAATATTTGATATTAAATGAAAGCCCTGATTTCCCTGAATAAAATGATATATAATAAGGGTGGGTGCATTTAATATGAAAGAGGTGAATTACGGTTGGACAGACATGTAGCGCAAATGCCGGGTTTTGTTTACATTTTGTTTCGTTCACAACGTGTACATTTGGCTCCGTCCTTAAGGGGTTAAAAAGACATCACAAAACTGTATTAGAAACTACACTAACTATCACATGCATTACCACTTTGAGGTGTTAATGGGGGAGTAAGTCACTGCCTCCTAATATAGTAGGTATTGCAGTGTTTATACTAAATACCTACACACAATAACTACAGCTCTAGCAGCATTGTAAATGTCAAAATGTATATCATTCTAAATAAAAGTTGCTATTGCAGAAAAATTGAAAAACCTCAAGGCAGTAAAACAATTTATTATGTAGATACTAACTTCGAGGTAGTATGTAGCCACCAAGTTGAATAACTGAAACCAAAAGGCAAGACATTTAACTTTATAAAAAGAAACATGTTATACTTTTACAGGTTTCTGAGGTTAAAAAAAGAGTGTATAAAAGAATAAGTGAATGTCACAAAAGATTTTAATAATGTAATGAGCTCCATCCCTCACTACTCTTGGACGACAGCAATGGCTATAGTATCTATCAGCCCCAATACATAGAATTAAACTAACATTATAAATATGCATTCAAACTCTGTAACAAGTTAGATTTTAATTACACTTTTTGGATTATGTTATGGGGACAGGTAAAAAGCTATATAAAAAAAAAAAAAAAAAGCACAAAAAACGTTATCGTACCATGAAATTAAATGGTAGTAAATGAGAGAATAAATGTGTTTCTCAGGCAGTATATATCTTGTAAAAGTTAGTTTGTTAAAGAAACTGCCCAGTTGCACAAAAGGTTTTAATAAGAGATATGAATGCATAATCTGCATAAACTAATTGCAGTCTAAATAATAATAGGAGTTGCATGACGTTTATCTGTAATGTAATGTAATAAATATTGCAATATCTGAAGTGTCTGTCTTGCGCCCAGACATAAAAATGAAAGGGATATACAAAGCTATACAAAGCTGCATTCCTGGCACTATAGCTTCCTCTGCCTCCCCCTCCCACTGCGGTAAATAAAGGGTTATAAGCCCTTTACTTACTTACCTTACTCCAGCGCCAATGTCCCTTGGTGCTTGGTTGCGGCTCTGCCTCCTCCTTTGTCCCACAAAGAGCAGGCGCTAATGCACATGCATCTGGCATCAGATACTGGACTAAAGGTCCATTTGGATGCAGGAAGCGTCTCTGTCTGGGAGTTTCTCTGGAACTGCAATATTTAACATTGCAGCACTAAGTGCAATAGAAACAGTGTACCCAGACCACTTCAATGAGCTGAAGTGGTCTGGGTGCCTAAAGATTCCCTTTAACACTCCAGATCAGAGGACTGGGCATTCTCTAAAATTGTTGGAGTACACAGTGGGCTTGGGTCCAAGGCTGAGAAACCTTTGGCGTTTTATCTGTATTAAAGATATTTTTGTGGAAGAAGCAGTAAAACCCCAGGCTTTTCATGTTATTAATAATATAAATTTCTATGGTTGTCTGTTGCCTTTACACTGCTGAAATATATTTGGTTTCCTTCCTTAGTTTATTGGGGACCACTACATGTGTATGGCTATAAATTCCCTGCAATGAATAAAAGTAAATGTATTAAGAGGACCTTGTTCAGTCCCACTTCAGTTTTTTGTAAGGATCCAGTTTTATTTACATATTGTCTGCTAAGTCAATGCATGTAAACATGTGCATGCAGCTATTAAGGCAAGCTCAAGTCACCCAGACTTCAGAAATGTCATATGATGTAGACAAGGGCAATGTTGTGTGTCCTCATGGTATTTCTTGCTGTTTTGTAAAAGGATCTCTGCCAGGCCAATGTGCTGCACTACAGATCTGGGCAGAAAAGAGTGACTTTTTTAATGTTATTATCTTTATTTTAATTATCTTCCAGAGGGGGTCAATACTATCCTGTGGAGAGATTTTTAAAGACCCATAAATATTTCTTCCTGTACAAATACAGATAAAAAGAAAGATCTCTCAGATGATCAAAAGAGATTGCCAAGTAATTAAGTTTTTCCAAGTAAATTTTGTTTTACCATCAAACATTTCCTGTTAGTATATGTTGCAGTTTGTAATTTTAGAATTACTGGATATACACCACACATTTTATATATCATGGTAGCTGTGTCAAATTGAGGTTGAAATACCCTCATACACACATTTAGAACACTTAGAATCTCATAACGCATGGTGTGTATGTGAAATTGAGACTGCTAAAGTAATGGCCATGGAATAATAGATGAGGTCATCTCCAAAACCTCTGTATTTTATTAAACCAGAAGAATAACACCAGGAGGAGTGACAAGTGGTAATCCATGACAGGATAACAAAGTCACGTTTCTGTGATTTAGTGTTACATAGTAAAGGAAGAAACATGATGAGAAGATAGGAAATGAATGTGGAACTTATGTATCTTATAACATTTCTGCTTTAAACATTTTCTTTTTTTTTACAAGAGTCAATGTTATAACCCATTCAAATGTTTAATGGCCAAATGGGAAAGAGTTTGCACATTTACGTTTTCTATTAGTAGAAATATCCAAAAATTCAGAATAAAACATATGGCATCTAGTGATTTTATTATTCCCCATGCTTGACCACATGCGTTTGTTTTTTGCATTAAGAAAATGCTGATGTACAAATGTGATTAACAATTAATACAATAATTCAAAAGTATAAACTCAAAATAAAGCCCTATACAAAAATAGCAGATACACTACAATAGTACACTACAATAGTAGGCAGATTGCAGTTTTAGGTCTTCCAGACAGGAAGCAGATCAGGATATAGAAATGCACACATGACTCAAGGAAAATTATGTTAGCTGTAATTCAACAGAGTGGCTATATGTATGATGGTATGTTTGGTCCACAATACAACAAATGATTCTGCATGTATCCATCCCATTTGTAAAGTATTTTAACTAATGAACCTTTTCTCTACTAAATATATAAAACTAACAACAAAACTAATTTCCCTTAAAAATAATATTGATATGAAAGCCAATACAGCACTCAGGAAAAAGACATTCTACAAGATTAGGTGTCGTTTAAAATTTAGAGAACTAGATGGGGCGGAGCTTAACCGACGAGCCGCATGGACACTATCTCGCAGAGCTCCTCCCGCATTAACGTCAAATCTAAAGCCATCCAATATGGCGAAAATAGTAACCAAATTATTTATTTATTTATAAAATATTTTACCAAGAAAGATACATTAAGATTTCTCTCGTTTTCAAGTATGTTCTGGGTCAACCATACGCAAAGGGCCACCTGCAGATACCCTTCTTATTAGCCCAAAAGGGCAGGAAAACCCGCTGCATGAGTCGGGCCTACACCAACCACCCTAACAGCAGAGGCCTCGAGGCCAAAAAATGTCAGACGAGACTGGCCTAGAAACCGGCTCCAACTACAACCTGGCCCCAGCCACGAAATGCAACATACGGCAATTGCTGCAGGAGATGAAAACGGTTTGACTCCGACATAAACTTGGCCCGCACGGAGATACAAGCCGTGACCACAAGAGTACCAGCCACGGAAGAAGATATTATGGACTTACGCCAAGAGGTGAACAGCATGGGTTAGACCCTCCGCCAATTGCAGTCTGCTAATACAGCTGTCCAAAATAAACTGGATACCATGGAGGATTGCAGTAGACACGGTTCAACCGAATGGTCACAATACTTGAGAAGACTCACTGCTGGGCTCCTGCCACACACACACACAAGCCAAAAAGCTGGAATTTGATGGACAACTCCGAATTAACAAAGCAAAGCAGGCACCCCCAACAGCCGTATGGGACATCATCGTGAGATGCCACTCTCTGATAGACAAACGCTGCATACTTGCAGCAGTAAGAGACAAAATCCCATACACATTTGAAAACTCCCAGCTTACCTTTTTTCAGGACATTACCAGCAGTACACTCCAGTGGAGGAAATCGCTGTCACACATTACCACCCAACTCCGCGAAGTGAAGGTGGAATACAGATGCCTTCTACCTAGGACCCTAGCAGTTACTCGGGACAATGCAGTGTTGAAAATCACCTCGGGAGCTGAGGCTCAATCTTTCCTCAACTCACTGGGCATAGCACAGGGGGCTTCGACCCCTACAACATCATCATCCTTACACGCGAGATCCTAGCAGGACTATCCCATTCATCCCACAAAGAGAAAGGAGAAAGGAGGCAGTTACCCGAGTTTTCTAGCAGCGACAATGTCACCTTGCACCTTTGCTTTTGTTGATGGTATATGCATGTGATGTTATACCCTTCCTTTTACATTAGTACATATGGGAAAGTTCAATTGAAACCCGTAGACACAAGGGACACGTTTATAGGGCCTCACTTCTCGTACCAATGGCTCTAGTCTGAGCTGCTTAATCTCCCCCCTGTGGCCCCCTTTAGTTAGGGATCGGTACTAGTTGGCAAAGCAGCATGTTTTATTAACCCCACACACCCTGTCATGGTAACCCAGACAGTAGGTGAGGGCACCCACCACTAATCCACGCTGAGGGATCTCGAACTAGACCTTTTCAGTAAGAGACAAAATCGCAAGTCAACAGGGTATTAGTTATCACAACCCTTCACCTTACTGGTCCATTTACTTTCAGTCACGCTACACAGGAGCGCGGGGTATTATTTTCATTATAAGAAAATATGCAACATGTAAGCCACT